AGCGTTTTTGTTTCTCGAATTGTAGGTCAATAGAGGTAAAGCTTTTGAGATATGCCTATTCATAAGGAAATCACATTACAGTTTAAGATGCAGAATATTAGACTGACAGTGTCTATTAGAAGAGCAGATACAAAAGCGAGAGTGAATGCCTTTGAATACTTAATGATGATATACAAATATGATTATTTATGGAAGGAACTAAAATATATATTTCTTTTTAGCATCTGAAGTTTAAGAAACTGGTAGATATAGGAAACGACTGCCTTAAAAGTACCAACATTGAACGCTCAGTAATCATGCTTACGAAAATTCAAAAAACGTATATTGATTTATATTTCATCAGTCCTCTGTTACCAAACAGAACTATCACCTGTTCTCTTGTAGTCAGTTTTATAACAACTGATGACTTGTTAGAAAATGGTTGATACTGCCAAAAATTTACCTCGAAATACCAAAGTGAGGCTGGCACGTAAAAACCGTAGCAGAGGATTTCAAGAAATTTTCAACAGGCAATGATATTTCTTGTAAACGCAAATAAAAATAGGTACTTCTCTGATCGGGCCTGAGTTTTTCAATAACTGCAAGATATGATTTTTTTATAAATTGGACTTTTCGGACTGTTGATTGATTTGGAAGAAAAATTTGAAAACTTACAACCAATGAGATAACATGAAATATACCATGCTGATCAAAATTCCAAATACCAAAACAGATCTTTCACAGTCCTAGACAGTACAGTTAGAACCCTAATTATCGAGCCGCAATTATCTGAGCTCTAGGATTAACCGAGCCAGTCTAAAGACCCAAAAATCCTGATTATCCGAGGTACGCACGTCCATAATCCGTATTAACCGAGTTTCTAGAATATACAGGGTGTTTTTTTTTTATATATTGACATCCCACCTACAACCTTTACCTTCACAGGTAGAAGAAAGGTACAAAAGTTGTACAGTTTTGGCTGAATTTTTAAAAACCATGGTCAAAAATAAAATTTGAATGTCAGCTTTTTTCAAACGGGATGCCCTATATTTCATTTTATATTCTTGAAGAGCACAATGCCCCGATTCCAAAAATATATAGTTTGTCTATATTTGATTGAACAATCTCTCATAAAGTCTGTTTTTTTTTAAAGATGATTCCCCAAGTCAAAAATTTAGTAACCATGTTGGCAACACGAGCCTTTTCTGCATAAAAAATTTGAAAGCATTGACAATTTTACATGGTATTGCCAACATAATGTCATTTTGACTTTTAACTTAAAAAAAAAAAACAGATTTTATATTCAGCTCCAAAAATTGTAAAAACACGATCACTACTGATTTTGTGAACCATTCTACCCGTACAGGTGAAAGCTAGAGGTAAAATTTGAGGTAGGTAAAGTTTGTTTCACCAGGGTTTGTACTTGCCACCAGCATTTGTCTTCCTTGTTTAACAAATGAAAATTGACTGAAACAAATCAATGAAGTCAAAAACGTTCGTCGGTTCTTAAACCAGACGTCATTCATTTTAATTTGTTAAAATAATTGAATGTGTCGTATGAATTAATCTACGACAACCCTTTTTTGTCAAGTTTCAAGGTCAAGTATGAACCCTGGTGAAACAAACTTTACTTGCATTGGGTACTTGGTTTCTCTGATAGTATTTTTAAAATTTCTAGAACCAAATATGTTGGAGACGGCTCAACCGAATACAGACAAACTATATGGTTTTGGAATCGAGAAATTGTGCTCTTCAAGAATACAGAACCAAATATAGGGCATTCCATTTTAAAAAAGCTGAAAGCATGCAACATTTCACATTTCTGACATTCAATTTTTGTTTTTGACCATGAATTCTAAAAATTTAGCCAATAGGTAGGTACTGTACAACTTTTGTATTTACACCTTTCATCTACTTGTAACGATGAAGGCGCTCTTTCGCATCTGTATGTAGGTGATCTGTGATAATGTGACAAGTTATTCAAGTACAAACGAGTGGATTGTTGCGGAACTTATGGGTGGACCTCTGCGGGACGAGCGCAGCGAGTTCGGCAGCCATCTATACATCAATATGTTGTTTAATAACGATACTAACCTGACTCACTCAAATGTGAGTTATTCTCATTAGTTTAAAAACTACACGTTTCAGGTGAATGTCTTACTTGAACAGTTCAACAGTATATTGGTGAGTAGATGGCTGCGGAACTCGCTGCGCTCGTCCGGCAGAGGTCCACCCATAAGTTCTGCAATAATCCACTTATTTGTACTTAAACAATAACTTATTACATAAAGTCAAAATTTGTAAGATTATCCACTTTTTGTCAATTTTCCTTTCAATAGGAATTAGTAATGTTACTTTACCAAACTAGTAATATAATGTAACAAGTTATTCAAGTACAAACGAGTGGATTGTTGCGGAACTTATGGGTGGATTCAGCCATCTATTCACCAATATGTTGTTCAAGTACAATATTTACCTGATTCACTCAGTTGTGAATTTTTCTCATTAGTGCAAAAACTACACGTTTCAGGTGAGTGTCTTATTGGAACAGTTCAACAGTATATTGGTGAGTAGATGGCTGCGGAACTCGCTGCGCTCGTCCCGCAGAGGTCCACTCATAAGTTCTGCAATAATCCACTTATTCGTACTTAACAATAACTTATTATACCGGGTGGTCCTCCGGGAATGACATCGATTGCTTATGGGAAAACTGTGAAAGGTAAAAATTTGAAAATTTGGCAACATAGCAATGTCGATGGGGGACATCCAGGTAAAATATTTTCAAGATGGCGGCATTTCCGGTCATACCGGAAGTTGATACCAACTCGGTTATTTTAAATAGAACACCCCATATATTAATGTATTTTTGGATTCTACATAAAATTCTGAGCAGATTTCATGTGATATACCCTATACCTAAGTTCAACTGTTTTGGAAATATTGACAGTTGAAAATTGACTTTTTGCAACTTTGACAAGCTGTAAAACCTAATTGGTTAATTTTAGAGGAAAACCGATTTCACATTCCTATCTTAGATTTTGATAAACTATCATTTGACACCAACTTTGAACTTAAACGGAGATTAAATTTAACTGAAATTTTTAATCATGGATTTAATTCAAAGTTGATGTCAAATGATAGTTTATAAAAATCTAAGATAGGAATGTCAAATCGGGTTTCCTCTAAAATTAATTGTTCAGGTTTTACAGCCTGTCAAAGTTGCAAAAAGTCAATTTTCAACTGTCAATATTTCCAAAACAGTTGAACTTAGGTATAGGGTATATTACATGAAATCTGCTCAGAATTTTATGTAGAATTCAAAAATACATTTATATACGGGGTGTTCTATTTAAAATAACCGAGTTGGTATCAACTTCCGGTATGACCGGAAATGCCGCCATCTTGAAAATATTTTACCTAGATGTCCCCCATCGACATTGCTATGTTGCCAAATTTTCAAATTTTTACCTTTCACAGTTTTCCCATAAGCAATCGATGTCATTCCCGAAGGACCACCCTGTATAAAGTCAAAATTTGTAAGATTACTTTTTGTCAATTTGCCTTTCAATAGGAATTAGTAATGTTACTTTACCAAACCAGTAATATAATGTGACAAATTATTCAAGTACAAACGAGTGGTTTGTTGCGGAACTTATGGATGGATTCAGCCATCTATTCACCAATATGTTGTTCAAGTACAATATTTACCTGATTCACTCAGTTGGTGATTTTTCTCATTAGTGCAAAAACTATACGTTTCAGGTGAGTGTCTTATTGGAACAGTTCAACAGTATATTGGTGAGTAGATGGCTGCGGAACTCGCTGCGCTCGTCCCACAGAGGTCCACCCATAAGTTCCGCAATAATCCACTTATTTGTAATGCTTTCAGCTTTTTTCAAATGGGATGTTCTATATTTCATTCTATATTCTTGAAGAGCACAATGCTCCGATCTATATTTGATAGAGCAATTTCTCATATATTCGGCTCTAAAAATTGTAAAAATACTATCTTACTACTGATTTTGTGAACCATTCTACCTGTACAGGTGAAAGCTATAGGTAAAATTTGAGGTACTTGATTTCTCTGATGGTATTTTTAAAATTTTTAGAATCAAATACATATGTTGGAGACGGCTCAACCAAATATAGACAAACTAGTTTTGGAATCGGGAAATTGTGCTCTTCAAGAATATAGAACCAAATATAGGGCATCCATTTGAAAAAAGCTGAAAGCATGCATTTGCATTTCTGACATTCAATTTTTGTTTTTGACCATGGATTCTAATTAAAATTTAGCCAATACTGAACAGCTTTTATATTTACTCCTTTCATCTACCTGTAAAGGTAAAGGTGGGGTGTAATATTTAAAAAAACACCCTGTACATACATACAAGGTGTACCATTTAAAACAAAACAGGCTAAATATCTGATGCCACGTTTATTTTTTTTTAAATCGCTCGTACACGCAATTTGATTTTCAAAGAGGGAAGTTTTTTGCAATCATTTTCAGCATATCAACTTCAACCCTCTAGGCGGGGTAGGACCAACCCTCACTCTATTTCAAATGAAAAAAGAGGTCGAGTGATACCTCTTTCAAAAGAGTGTTCAGTTCTCTTTTATTTGATGTCGTTTGAAAGAAAATTGAGCGCTGTTTTGAAACAGGTATCACTCGAACCCCTATTCCATTTGGAATGGTAAGGGTTGGTTCCACTCCCTCTAGAGGATTAAGTTAGTGCTGAAAATGTTTCAAATACTCACACAATCGAATTACCTACGCGTAATCCCTCATTTTGTGGAGGGGAACGTATTCTTGAAAACGAAATATTTTGCAGTACATTTGCTTTTTATTTGAAATTTAGTAAATATGTATAAGAAATATGAAACCAAGTGAATTGAGATAGTAGGTATATGTATGTATAAAACCAAGACCACAATACATTTAAATATATTATTGTGAACCTAGTAAGCATAATGTTTAAAATAAAGTAATATAAAATACATAATGGTGATTCTCAACCTACCAGCTTTGCAAGGATCCAGATAAACATCATCGGAAATTTTCTTAGGAAAGACACTGTTCATCAACTCATCAATACTATATTTCTCATTACTCTGGTTGACCCTCATCATAGTCCTACTGTAGCTATTTTCCAGCAACACTGACCCAGACACTAACAGGGCACTATTTAGCACACAAATTAATAATAAATACGTCCACATTTTGTCAATAATAATATTATCAGTCTTATTTATTAAAAAAAAAAATCACAGCACTGTGGGCGATAAAACTCAGTTTTACATTTTAGTTTTCATTATTGAAAAAATCCAAGGAAAATTCGTCGCGACACAGTTGGGGTTGTTGCTGATAAAGTCAAATTGTTTGTCTTTACTAATCATTAATTCTTTATTCTCGGCATTTTGTTTACAAACTGATATTGTTGGTATGATTTATCGTGAATTTTTTGCTTTCAACGTGGTCTCAAGATGTCGAATTGTTCCATGCCGCTGCTTTGTGGTTATTTCGGTCGGGATGTGCATCATCTAAATCTAAAAGAGAGTTTTCGTATTAACACGATTAGATTAATATGTGTTTTTGTTAGGTATATAGATATAAGTATGGTGTTTTTAAAAAGCTAAATTAATTTTGAGCTAGTACTTTAAGTACCTACTTATTTAGGGGGAAAATTCACTTTCCAAAAATATACCTAAATATAAGGAAATATAGACAGAAAGATAACACTTTAAATTTTATTTCCTGAGTACCTACTCATTAAATCCATGTTGTATTTTAGGCAAATTTTAATGCATACAAAAATCGCATCTACTACACAATTTCTGTACAGCAGATAATCTATTTACGAGATTACATTGGTGCGGAAAAGCCGACGCCACACTTGATTGGTGTGGTTTCATATGTGAAGCGCGTAGTTTGTAAGTCAATCAGTCGCAGCTTCAACAAGAAAATTGTTATATATAGTTGAGTAAGAAATGTCTGTATGTTAAGTTAAGTAGAAGTCATAGTCATATAAGTGATTAGTGAATTTTGTAAATTTATTCAATTAAGTGATTTTTCAGTATTCAGTCAATTTTTAAAGTTTTCTGGATATTTCCACGTTTTCTGGTGATTTTGGTCAAACCTGAATAATACACTAAAATAAAAAAATCGCTCCGTAACTATTTTTGCATTTGGAGGATATGGAAACTTTAACCAGACTCAAATCAGGAATCTACATATCTACGAAAGAGTCCAACACATAAACCTACATCGAGTTAAGAGCAGAAATTTGGATTTTAAAGTCGAAGTCTATATTTTTTATTTCTATTCAAAGGCAGTGCAACAACTAAGTTTTCCATTTCTTAATGTCCAAAAAACTCTTTTTCAAACAAAAACATCTGCATTTTGTGCATTTTTGTTCCCCTATTTAACCCACTTCATACTTAGGGACTTGTCTCATCGCTTGTCATTCAATTTATGTACCTAATCTAATTTGATCTAAACGACTTTATGCAGTACTAAACCAATTTTGGGTCAACGATTTAAAAAAATTAAGTGTAAAATAATAAGGCATAATAGTACTTTTTGTGTACCGATCTATTTATATAAGCGTCGCGTGGGAGATTTGAGGTGTAGATGATACGAATCGCATAATCTTGGACCATATCGGCATGATCCTTTGACATTTTTCTTTTAAATTGGTAATTATTGGAGCTTTCGTCACAAAACTTTTTGATTAGTTTTAAAAATATCAGCTTGGGGTAGTCATCAAAAGTAGTAGAAGGTGACCAATAATTAGTAGAGAACGAAATGAAATTTTGTTTGCAGAATAAAAATTAAGTCACTTACTTAGATATCGAAATTTAATATTAAAATTGAAATATAAATCAAATATTTTTTTTTTCAAAATTTTAATTTAGTTGATGTCTTATTCATATGGACCTAACTTAACTATATTCAATTAATTGAAAATTTACCATTTATTCATCACGTTATCTTTTATCCCAAATTGTTTTATAATTCTAAACTAAGAAACTTTGAATCTCGCGTATCGGAACTGTGCGGAATACGCCGTGCAGTCTCCCGAACCGACGGGCACGGATTTTATGACTGATATTTCAAAAAGGCACGCATCTATGAGAGATACACACAGACCCAGACCAGCAGAGGCATCTCCATAAGCAGGGGCGGAACTTCTCTCGCTTTCCACGGGGGGCCCCTTTTCTTGTCAGGCGAAAAGTACATTGTCCATTCACTAACTCTATCTTAATAGCATGATGATAAGAGTATAAAAATTAAGTACCTACATTTTTTAGTAACAATTATAAAAAACGATCTCTTAGTTTTTGTCTCCAATTTGCTTACTTGCTTTGGAAAACAAAAATTTGCAATTTTGCAATTCTGCACTTTGAAAACCTTTACCAATCTTACAGCTTTCTCTCTTTGCATTATAAGAAATTTTTTTAGTCTATAAAGTAACACTGAATATCCTTCAATTCTTCAATTTACGAAGAGTTCGAGGGTTATCAACGAACACTCGCTCCTTCAAACATCGCCTCAAAAAGCAATCCAGAGCAGTAAGATCAGGGAAACCTGGTGGCCATATGGCGAATTTTTTTCCAAAGAGAGGTCACCATCTTATCTGTCTTCTTCGGTGTTATTTGTTATCAATTTTATGTTGCTTAGACTTTTCTGTAAGAATTTTTATGATGGGGAGATGGTCAGAAGTACTACAACTATATCCGAACCCAGCTGGATCAACGACTGGTGAACCTTGTAGATTTGAGGTAATTAAGAGGTCTGTTTTTCTTCTCTTGGCATTTCAGCTGTCAACTGATTTTCTTATAACAGGCTGAAAGGTTGATTTTCCAATGTTCGGCAATAATCCAGTGAACCAGTGTTTGTAACTTAACTTTGTGTCTTTCTGCAGCTAGTCTAAAGACTCGAATTTTTCTAGCACGTCTTTGATAGCGTGTTCTATTGCTTTTGGGCTAAATAAACCCTTGTCTGACCTCGAGACAGCCTAAGCAAACACATTTAAATTGTTTGAAATACAAGCGAAAACCGCTTAAAACTGTGCAAACTCAACAGAATTAAAACTAAAAAAAGCGTACCATGCATTAGATTTTATGTAAAAAAAATTTGTACTTACAGACCTACGAATAAAGTCTTTATGTCTTAAAATTACAAACTTTTTAAGTTAGCAAATTAAATAATATACATCGATCTTCAGCGATGAATACTACGAATTTTTCCAGGCCTTTCTGGAAAAAATGTTGAATGGGGATCCTGATTTCCGGAAAAGAAAGTATAAATGTAAATATGTACATACATAATTCTTTCCTTGATAAAATGTATAAGTTTTTGTAGTTCTTCAAATTCTGTAGGTAGGTACATACTTATATGGAACCCATATTTCGCGCAAGACGAAATAATTAAATACCTAATGAACCTTGCTTCATCACCAATAAACAAAAAGTTTCATCTAATCAACGATAACGAAACAAATATTCTGGAATCAGTTTCCTGAAGCAAAGGACAAAACCTAATTCAAAAACACGAAACATTTAGCCAAAATAATTCTGAATTGAAATTAGTATCCTTTTTCAATTATTAGAATATTAAGGTTCTCCCCCTAAAACGTGTCTTTTTCTGTGTTAACACGTATGACACCTGCCATATGCTGCCACCCCCGTTCATTCCCTGACAGCATATTCCCTTCAGCCAATGCCAATTACACGGGTAGGGTTGTTAATTAGCAATTTAGTGCCCTTCTAACGGCACGGTTGACGACGGCTACCTGCTTTTCTGGGATGCGTCCAGTGGTGTATCGTAAAACTGTTGAAAAATTAAATTTATGACTTAAATTAAGAAGTTTATTGCTATAAAACAATGAATATTAAATATTTCAATGTTTTTAAAACAAAACCAACTTGCTCATAAGAGAATGAATTTTATTAAAAAATATTTTCGATAGAAGGCTTTTTTCATTTACATTTTCTTTACGTAGGTTTGGTTTGAAAGGATAACTGGATGTAGCGTATTTGTAAAATTTCCCAACCGTAACAGAATTAGCACTTTTCAACATTTCATTGACACAATGAATGTCATTGATCAACTGACCTCTCGCGACCTGAGGATGATCTCTTCATAAAATAAATATACTACAATTTCTTTCACCAAATAAATGACAATACTTTTCCATTAATACTTGAATAAATTTTATTTAAAGCGATATAACCAAAATCAGGAAAAAATAGCTCTACCTTAATTTATAACACTACAGATATCGCTTCATACTGTCGAATTTGGAACTCTTTCTCCAATATAGTCTCAATAAGTCACTATACTTAAATCTCCAAAGCCAAACTCCAAATTCGAGAATTCAAGTCGAATATGGGTCAATCTATCTCAACAGTATCTTGGACTTTCAATCGTCGATATTATATAGATCATAATTCTAATGTCTTCTTTGTGGATTAAACTTGTTCAAGATTCGCCAGAATCTGTTCCTCGCATATTCGTCTTTAGATATTATGCATTCACTACTCCATATTATCTTCCTATCACTCTACTGTTCATCATTCGTCCAGTATTTTTAGTTCAGAATTTTTCCTTTTTCTTATTCGGCCTTGCGAACTCATCTTGCACAAGCATATTTATACATTGACCAAGAAACCTATCATATGGAAGTGGCTTTATTTCTCAAATATTGGGTTCAATAGTTTTACTTTACTGTTCAATAGCTGAGCGACTTTCCATTTATAGGTAGGTATAATTTTATTGGCAGGAATGCTGATCATACTAACAACATCTTCCTTTTTGTCTTATCCATTTCGTGATGGGGGATTTATTAGGTATCTAAGGGCCGTTTGCACCGACCATTTTAAGGAAGGCTTAACGATAAGTATTCCTTGAAGTGACATTTTTACATGTAAAACTGTCATTTTAAGGTATACTTATCGCTAACCCTTCCTTAAAACGGTCGGTGCAAACGGCCATCATTCTCGTGGCGTCGAGAACTAATGGCCGTTTGCACCGACCATTTTAAGGGAGGTTTACCAATAATCGACGTTTAAAGTGACAATTTTACATGTAAAAATGTCGCTTTAAACGTTGATTATCGTTAAACAACTCTTAAAGTAGTCGGTGCAAACAGCCATAAAACGCTCTAGTGGATATGATGATGGCATTTCAATAGAATTATATAGTCTATGCTAGTCCCTTGTCCTATAACATTTGAAATAAAATTGTTCATTATAGGAATCATTGCTAATCACATTATTAGGCCCCATATTTCGCCCACTGGTTTCATGAAGGTTTACCTATTTATTCTTCTTTGTTTGTAAGGATATCAAAATTAGGATTTATTAATGCAGAACCATACAGTATTCGGTATTGTACGGCCATCTTTCCATCATGGACAAAATATTCTGCAATATAGTTTTTTAAATCACACTCAAGAAATTTTTGTCTGAGAGAGGATTCTATATGGATTTACTGAATTTGCCAATGATAATTTTTAATGTTTTTTTAATTTTTATTCCTCTTATATGTTTGATTGATCTATTTCACTATATTCCTATTTATATATTTTTCAGTTTTCTGTCCTCTCAACATCTTCCTTGTGAAGTTTACTTCAATATTTATTTTTCTTAACGCGCTCTGGGGGTAAAATTTCAAGGCCGTGACATACGAGCCTAGCGAAACGAAAATCCTTCACGATATATTTTTCAACATGTCGTTGCTGAATGATGTCAAATGTCTACGTCACTGAATTACGCATGGATGGCGACTGTAATTTTTCAGCTTCAATAGCTCAATAAGAGATGGCGCTACAAAAACTATTAAGCCGGAAACACACCTTCGACACGGTACGTCACGTTACGAGCTGGCGCGTGCAGTACTAAAAGTGAGGTGTGCAGTACTGAAAGTGAGGTCTTCAATTTTACGTGTCTTTTTATGGATCTCGATCACACACGCAACACGGTACGGTATAGCCAACGGAGGATCAGGGGTGCGATTTTCGAAACCATTCGAGTACATTTCGTACACGAAATTTGACTGCTCCCCATTTAATTTACATTGCTGTCAGTCAAATTTCGTATACGAAATGTACTCGAATGGTTTCGAAAATCGCATCCCTGGTCCAACCGGTAAAAAGTCTGTACATTTTGGAACGGGTTGGTAAGTTAACTATTAAACCGGTATCGCACCGGTTCAGAAACTGTGGAATTTTTGAAAGTGCCCGTTCTTATGTTATGTTTTTTGGTTCAAAGATGAAATAGGAAATTTTTCGCGAGGTTAATCAAACATATATACTGTATTCCTTTTACCCGTTGAGTGACTCTGAGCTGCTCAATGTCAAAAGCTTGAACGTTCCATTTAAAAGTGCGTTAAGCACTCGAGTCGCTCATAGTGCATCCCCCTTTCCCCTGATGCACCAAATTTGCGGTGGGTGCAAGAAGCCCTTTTAGGTAATGACGGTAATGTTAATATTAAAAAATAATGATAAAATCTGAATTGTATGTTTTGGAGTGACTCCGAGGAGCTCGTTAGGTGTAATTCCATGTATAAAAGGAATACAGTTAAACTGAATTTTCGCGACGAACTACTTTCATGAACACAAACGCTTTCGAGAGAAACTCATGACGTCATATTGAACGTAGTTCGCCGGAAGCATGGACGCAGCTTCTAGCCAGCGTTCAAACTCATGACGTCACAAGACGAACTATTGATCAACTACATTCGTCCCTGCGAGTGACGTCACTATCAGCATATTTTGATAATGACGTCAGCCGCAGACCTCGATGGAATGCTTACGATTCAGGCTGTGCTAGTGAGTTAATTTTTTCCTCGATTTTAAATGTAGAAAAGGTGATTTTCAGTATGTTCTCATGGAAGAAGTTAAGTGTTCTTGATCCTCGAGTATCCCAGAATTTGATGGTGGGGAAGTTAGGGGAGTATGGCACAATTGAAACATAACATCTGAGCATAATCGTGTATGCTTGGTTATCCTCACAGAAAATTGCCTACTGTCTGGACTTTTTGTCATTTATGAGTTGATAAAAAAAGGTCGATTTACACAATACAGCCCAATAGGAAAATACTACAGTGGTTAAATAAACCTTTACATACAGTGGCAACAATAGAGGTGCCGTCGCCATTTTGTGCCCTACCTCTTGCTACTTTCAAATAGGAATACAGGGTGTCCCCGTTCAACTGGTTAAAAATGCTAAGGTATATAGAGGAACCATAGAGAAGTAATTTGAGATAGGACACCGATGCGTCGCTTTCAAAATACAGGGTGTTGAAATTTAAAGAACCCCCTTTCCCTGTCATATCATCTGGTGGGCTAATACTATAGGCATTATGCCTCATTCTCACTTGCGCGAAATTCGCTTTACGTTTGATACACGTAGGGTTGCCACCTCTCCGGAGTCTACGGGTTTTCACATATGGCCTCCGAGCTCCGGATTACTAAGTGTTTTCTCCGGATAAAACCGCATTTACCACAAAAAACACGCATTGACAAAAAAAAAATTAAAAATAGTTCTTATGTCCAGGAAAAAAAATAAGATTTAGCAACAGCGCAATTCTGTTCCTGGTCTTCCTCAAAAATATTACCAAAGTTTAATATTACACACTACTAAAGGATTGCTCATTAGAGAGATTTTGAGCCACATAAATTTTGAAATACGTTACACGCTAAACGATAAACTGAGCAAGCGCAGTCTTTGAAAAATAGCGGATGACATTTAGCCTTTTTTTAGTTTTTGAAGCCAAAACTTGTGAAGGACGTTATACGCTAAACGTTAATGAAAATTTGTGGTTAGGAATTTGAATTTGTGTAACTAGCGTCAAATTTTATGTTGTCTTTTGTTTATGTTAGGATGGCTGGGTATTTATTTGTGTTTTGTTTTGTGTAAATATGTACTGCACTTCATAAATAACATTGAAAATATAATAAGACGTCGAAATGCTGAAACGTTATCGGTTAATAACGTTCCGTTTATTTCCACATAATTAGCGTAGTACGTTACCGCTTATTAAGCGGGCCAATTATTTTTTCACTATTGCGCATGAGCAAAATAACCGATAACGTATAACGTTGATCAAATAGGTGGCTCAAAATCTCTCATCGATTTTTGCAATCAAGATGATATGGTGCTACACCGTTGCCGAAGTCATCAACGGTGTCGTTAACTGTTTGCGCCAGCGGTCGTAGTTTAAAATATAAATTTATGATGAAAAATATTATTTAATTTTGAATAACATAATAAGCAAAGAGGAAGATGCAAACGAAATTTAAAAAGGGTCTTTTTAGAATGTAGCTTTTACTAAGGCGGCGTTCCGTAAGTTAACCAAGGTTCTTGGTTTTTCCGGTTTCCGTTCCGTAACCTAACCACTCCTGAAATCTGAGGCGATTTTCAGCGTGGAATGATTATTTATCGGTAAATACCGTGGTTATTCTTTTGGTTGACAACTTTGACAGCCACGTGTGACGTCATAGCCCCCACCACTCAAGAATCATAACCCAAGGAACTGACCGCTGAAACGATTTGGTTATAGAAGTGTAGAGTTATGTTTATTATTCTTATTTGTTTTTTCGTTTCAACAATGGTTTGTTGTTTAGGCAGCTAAAATGGAGCGGAATCTCTCGGTAGTCTCGTTTATTGAACGGATTTTCTTTGGGGATGATCTAAACATGGTGAGTTGCAGTGAGTAAGTGAGTGTATACTTCTCCCATTGTGCCAGGCCACAACACAACTGCAAAATCACAAAACACCGATATCAATTCCCAAAATAATAACAATAACATCAAAAAGCTATAACCAAAAGATTAACCCAAATCCAAAGCTGGGTTATAAAGCCAATTTTAAGCGAATAACCAAACGAGATTGGTTTTTACCATTTCGGATTGGTATTTACCACAACATTTATGCGACTTTGGTTTTTCTTTTGGTTATGACTCCGTGACGTCATGGATCAGCTGTAAAATGTCATACTTATCACCGCAAAATTGCGGTTTTAACCCAGCTCGGGAGTGGTTTTTATTTTGCGGTTATTATTTGAATTGTTGACATTGCATTTTTGGCGGGTTTTTAGCAAGTTGTTTATTTTTTTTAGCAGTTTGTTTGGTATTATGAAGTAAAAAAAGGGCCAGAAATTATGGATACTTCCCTAAGCAAAAGTCATGAAGGTGCGGATTACCAAATACAGGTTGGAGACTGGAGACTGGGTCGGTATTTCAATGTCACGTTAAAATAACGTTAAGTCATCTTTAATACAAGTTTCACCGTATATCAAAGTATAAAAGTTCCCCTAATTCAAGGTGGATCTTAAGCTTATCTTAAGTTACCTGAATGAACTGATTTCAAGTTCACCTTAACGTTAAGGATACCTTTGGTAAATCTTGATTTTAAGATTACATTTGAAATACCGGCTTTTAGAAACAGCTAATTTACTCTTAATAGCAAGTATTATCTGTTTCAATTGATTTTCGGTCTCATGTCTTTCCTTTTTTTAAAAAAAAATGCAACAAATTGGTAGATTTCCTAACAAATCAATTATTTCCGCACTGTCTTCAAAAAAAACACATCTCCAAATAAAAAGGCAAGTTCTCTCCTCTTTTCCATTTTCCGGCCAGCATGAAATCAAAATTCAAAATATAAACAAATAGCAATAACACAACAGGGGTAACCGCGGTTAATACCAAACGCGTTTAAGCGAATACAATGGAATGACGTCATCAAGTGATCTGTCATCTTGAACCAAAGCGTAACCGCGGTTAAAACCACAAAATTGTGGTTATTCGCTTAAAATTGGCTATAATCGGTTATAAGTGGTAAATACCAAAAGCAAATCAGCTGATATGTGACGTCACAACTTCCCCTACTTTGGTTAAAACCGCGACGGCGGAAATGCATTGGTTATAACCAAATAATAATCATTCCAGGCTGAAAATCGCCTCTGGTTAAGTTATGAAACGCGGTTCCTGAAAAATTCCGTCCCAACTGTCAACCGAATCTACCGATCAAAAAGCTTGGTTTTTTCCGTTTATTTTAAATTTCTGACATTTGTTTGTTAGGTTAGGTAATAATTTTTATTTTTTTTATTTTTCTTCCGCTTTCAACTTCTATTTGAGGTGAAAATAGAACAAGAGGTGAATACTACATTCATTCCTGACGATTGCTTAATTACAAATATATTTTTAAGAGGATAATATTCTATCATCTAGCATCCATACCAAACCAAAGCTGAACCGAAGCGTTCCACACATTAACCGCATTTTCAGGAACCATACTGTTACCATAGATGAACCGCTTCTTACCGATCGGTAACTCTGGTTAGGATACGGAACGCCGCCTAAATCAAGTATGCATAAAGCGAAAGTCAGCGGAATCATAGCCCGTAGTGCAAACTCCCTACGTCAAGGCAGGAAACGACACGCAATTTACGTCATCACTGGTACTTTGGCGTGATGGGGGCTTGAGATTTGATCTACAGAGGTCATATGCGGATAGGCTATCGTTAGTTGTCCTATCCTGTGTAGTGTGTAATATCCTTGGATCTCCCTCTCCAATAGTCTCCAACCGTTTCAACTCCCAACCTGAAGCATCATCCGATGATGCCGTTCTATTTTCAGTCACTGGATTCAGTCGATTCAGTACTGAATGACCACCAGAGTACGCTGTTGAAATCGGAACAGCAAATGTCAGTAAAACCAGCACAGTAAATCATAGCTGGGTTCGGCTTGCACACTCCGAGTGACTCCGTTCGCACTCCAGCCGTTGTCTGATTCGTTAAAAGGCAACACCCGAACGGCTGGAGTACAAACGGAGTCACTCGGAGTGTGCAAGCCGAACCCAGCTTCAGTACCTGACACCTGGCAGTTGATATCGGAACATAGCCAAGAAAAATGAAGTTACCGTCTGTCAGGAATTACGAATGTCAACTGTCATGCAAGATGTTTAAAATTTTAAAAACAAAATACATAAATATTTTTTTCAAGGATTTTCTTTCGTTTGTGAATCGCTTATAATTTTGTGATGAGGTGATTTGATAAATTTATATAATCTAATATTAGGTTTAGAATTTTAATCAAAATGGACACTGAAATTAAAGAACAAGAAAACAACGCTATCGAGGAGACAAAAATACAAGAAACTATTGATGCAAGTCCTCCAACAGAGGCAAAACAAGAAGTTCCTTTTAAAAAACCCACATTACTTATTGGAAAAATAGGTCGCCTTCCCAAAAAAGTACTAGTCGCAACCTCTACTGCTTCAAGTGTACCAAAGCAAGAGCTTAGTTCTGAAGAAAAACCTGCTGAAGAAAGTATAGAAATTCTGGATAATGAGGTTTCTTTAAATGTAAAAAGTTCTGAGGACCAACCAGCCGAACAACTTGATAGCAAACAAGGTAAACTCTATTCAACATAAAATGGTACAAGGTACAAGTTTCCAATAGCAAATTTTGCAGCTCTTTCACAGCCACTAACCATTCCATATAAAGAGCCAAATTGGTCAGGACTGCCAGAAACCACTGGAAAACCCTATGCTTTTGAAGTACTCAAAAACGGCAAAATTATACAAACCATAGATTTAATGAAAAAATCCTTTTGGGTTTTTGGAAGGCTGCTCAATTGTGATATTTCCGCTCAGCATCCAACAGTATCGAGGTTAAACATCTTACTCCAAATTGTATATAAAAAAAATTGTGTTGTTTTCTCTTTTAGATACCATGCTGTAGTTCAGTACAGGGATATTCCTTCAGAGACGGAACCGCCAGGGTTTTATGTGTATGACTTGGGAAGCACTCACGGAACATTTTTAAATGGCAAAAACAATAAGCTGAAGCCAAAAATGTATGCTCCTATAAGGGTAAGATTTGCCTATATATTTTTTTAAATAACAACATTACATATTTATGAGTTTTAGGCCTGGTTTATTCATCTTCAGATGAACTTACTGGTAACTGTCTGCAAGATAAATTTACCGTTCTATAGTTCTGTTGATCGATGGATAACTCACCGACCAATGGAATTACAGATTGTGTTTTTTTCTGTCAGATTGCATACCTGACAGTTTATCAGAAGGTGAATAAATCAACTTTGGTTTTATCTTTATATAGAGAGAAGAACCCATGTAAATTGAATATTGGGATTCAATATTCATTAACCAAGTTCCATTACTATCCAGTATAAACCTATATCTCCCATAAATAAGGATGTGTCTACTTTGTGTTTATTATGCCCGTATTACATCTGTGTGTTTTTCCGTGTATTCATGTAGTTCAGGGTGACAACAGAAAAACTTCAAACGCAACATAAATCAGCATTATGAAAAACAAAATAATGTTGGCATCCTGAACTACATGAATAAATACACGGAAAAATACACAGATGTAATACAGGCATTAGATATGTATTCAGATCATTTAAAAGGTCCTTAGATTTCAAAAAGTTTAGGGGACCTTATGCCTTGCTTGAAATCTTGACATCACTGTTTTCTCATTCAATCTTCTTTCTTCTCAAAACTCTCATATTCTTGTATTTTATCATTTTTGTATTAAATTGTCTCCTGGGACTGCTTGAGAAATATATTCAATTTTTTTAATAGTTGGCTAAGGGTTACTTTAATCTTTGATTGTAACCAATTAGGGTTTTCTCGTTAGTAGTAAATGCATAATATCTTTATTAGTTCTCATAGTAGCTAATTAAGTTAAACTTTGTCAAATTGTAAACAGTGTAATTCACAAAAGAAATAAAATTTATTTCCAGAGGATTTCAGTACAAATTTTACACAAAAATCAGGTCAAGGTTTTAAGAAAAAATTGACTTAGCTGGTCAATTTCAGCAAATGTTTCCTTCATGTTATCCTTATTCTTGGCGTTGTTTGAGGTACAAGACTGGACTTCTAGTGCTGGCAAAGTTGGAAGTTGTTCTAAAACTTTCTCTTGAAAGTGCAATTTGAGGTTGCTTAATAATTTCTTCATGTAGTCCAAAGATTTGGAGATATTAACAAATCTAAAAATGTGTTTTGTTCTAATTAGTTTTTTGAATAAGAATAGATCCTGACCTTTCCTCAAACTGAGCGCCTGTTTCTTCTTTCATCCGATCAATTATTTTCCTTATGACGTGAGCCCTATTTAGAAAATCATTTAATTGCTTCACTTTTTCCCGTCCGCGAACGTCATTTATCAAAGCTTCTATTTCTGATTCTTTATAGGATTTTTCTTGGATCAGCCTGTTGATTTTTTCTGTAAGCTGTTTTTTTGATTCCATTTTGACCCTGACTAGGGTTAGATTGACAGACAACTAGTGATGTTTGTGCTGACGGGTGATTTTTTACCAATACCTGTGAAAATTAATCACCTTCCAAAAAAGGATTGCTTACCTGGGACTCATCAGTGTGAATGGCAGGTGTTGTTTTTGCTTTAAAGGAAAAGATGTTGTAAAACTGGCATGCAATCTATAATGATGAGTCTCTAATATTTTTTCAAAGGGTAATAGGTACATTCCGACAATGCGAAGCTTCGTTTTGTAAACAATCCACCTCATGGAGACACTTTTCATGGGCCAAACATGCCTATCACAATGCCTCTGGCAAATAGTTAATAATGTGTGAATTTCCAAAATCAACATTTTGTATTGCAAGATTGAAAAAAAAAATACAAGACTACTTTAGGGCCTTCCAAAATACAATTTTCGAATAGTTTTTTATATACATATTGTGAGAAATACACTCAATGTGAAGTATAAATTTAGTATAAATAATCTAATTCACTTATTTAAAAATTTTACACAAAAAACACCAAAAGCCGAGCCAAATTTTCATTCTTTATTCAACTTCTCCGAGCTATATTCACCACTTTCAATGTTCTCCAAAGCAGCTGAAACATTTTCAAAAGCTTCTTGATAATTCAGGGCGACATTATTATTTTTTTCCTTTTCGTCAGTAACTTTTTGTTGTATTTTTACAATTTTATCTTTAATTTCCTTCATTCGCTTCTCCATTTCGTGTCTTTTTTCTGCCATTTTTTGCTGGTCAGCATTTTCTTCAAATGGTGGTCGAGCTTGATGCATTTCCAAAATTTTCTTTTGATAGGAGAATTTTACGTTATCTATGTTTTTGCCTACGCGATTTAGATACTGTGAGGAAATATTTAACCTGAAAATTGTAACTGTTGTAAACGAAAATTATTATCAAGTAGTTGAAAATCCTTGCCTGTCTCTAAGCTCTTTGAATTGTGCTTCAATTTCTTGATGTTTCGCATCGGCTACTTTCCTTACAGCCTGCGTCTTATTGAAAATGTGTTTTATATTTTCTACTGCTTGCTGGCTGATATTGTCCCTTATTAAAACCTCTGTTTGGGGGCTAAAATTGAACTGACTTTCGAATTTAGTTGAAGCGGTATCGAGAGTGACTTCTTGTGATTCTCCATGGGAATCGTTTTGTATCTGGCTGTTACTTTTCTCCTTGAATTGCTTTTTTGACTCCATTTTGGGCTTGATATTTGATGTTTGATCGATACCAGCGTTACCATGCTGTCATGTTCATTTATTCATTTTTTGTTAATCAGCCGCACACCAAAATCTAGTGGTTGGTTGTTTTTTTTTACCCTAGATTTAATATTAATTATTACTGATCCTTTAAATAATGTTTAATATTTGCATAAATAACTTATTTGTTCTTCTCAGGTAGGTCATATATTACGTTTAGGTCTCAGTCAACGCCACTACATATTAACTGGTCCCGAAGATGATCAAGAAGAAGAATCAGAACTTTCTGTAACCGAACTAAAGCAGTTGAGGGAACAAAAAATTAAAGAACATAAGGAAAAAATGCAACTGGCTGAGCTTGAACGGGAGGAGAAAAGGAAGAAGGAAGAAGAACGAGGAGTTGACTGGGGAATGGGTAAATAATTTTCTAAACACATACAAAATGCTAAAAATATCTTTTATAGGGGATGATGCGGATGATGATGAAGAAATGGGCGAAAACCCATACGCTTCAACAAATAACGAAGAATTATATTTAGACGATCCTAAAAAAGCCCTGCGTGGATTTTTCGAAAGAGAAGGACTCGAGCTTGAATACAACTGCACTGAACAAGGTATGGGCCAGTTTCTGTGCAAAGTAGAACTACCGGTGGATGATGAAATGGGCCGACCCATTGTCGCAGAAGTGTTGCACCGAGGCAAGAAAAAAGAAGCAGTAGTCCAGTGCGCTCTAGAGGCATGCCGGGTATTGGATAGGTTTGGAGTATTGAGGCAAGCAACTCACGAATCCAGGAAGCGCAAATCCAAAAATTGGGAAGAAAATGATTATTATGATAGCGATGAAGATACTTTCCTGGATAGGACTGGGACTATTGAGAAAAAGAGAGAGAAAAGGATGAAAGTTAGGGAACCTGATAAAGTTGAGACTTATGAAACCTTGGTGAGATTTTTTATGAAAATAAATAGAAATGTGTCAATACTTTAAGACTTCAATACTTTGTCAGTGCTAAATTGATAAATTATTTTCAGCTTGAAAGAGAGCGTGAAATATCCTCATCGATTACCAGAATCGAGCAGAAGCTACATTTAGCACAAGAAAAGCAATCAGGCGCTAGTTTAAGTACCCAACCCGAAGAAGATTCATTGGACTCCTATATGAACATGCTGGGAAAAGACAAACTCGACAAGCAAACGATTTCAAAATTGAAACTCGAACTGGCCGATTTGAGAAAGAGCCACTCTAATGTAATAAAATTGGTAAACATTGCTAAACCTGCCAATTTACCAGCTTTGGTGCCCTTGACAAGTACAAGCACTTCTAACATAAACAAGCCAAAGCGTGTTTTGCCCTTGTTTGGTAAACGCAGAAAAGTGCCTGTTAAATTTCCTGCTAAGCCGAATGAGAATATTGCAACACAAGCCTCCAATGAGGATGATGAGGAATCTGACGAAGACAAGGAAGAAGTAAGCACAATATAGGTAGCTTAAAGAGGGCGTGACCCTAAAATACAACTTGTCCTATTTTTGGGTCACACCCCCTTCAACTAAGTTTTTTTAATGGAAAGTTAGGATTCAAAAACATAAAATTTGTCCCAGCTATTTTTATATTTTTGGAGAACTTGCAAATTACAGCAAAAAAGATGCCTCAACATTGAGGATTTCCCATATACAATTTTTTTTTCATGAAGGTAGGTATTTGTTTAAAATTAGATTTTCATATTTAGGCCACAGAGACACTTAGAGTTCAAGGATCATCTTCTCATGTAGATTCGCCAATGGAAAATAATGGACTTGAAAAATTCAATGAAAATGAAACCAATATTGCTGGTTCTAGCTCATCCAACGATGCATCAAAAGACAAAAGTTTGGTAAGAATAGCATATTTAGATTACTGCTGATTAATACCTCTGCATTCATGGAAAATTTTTGAAAAATACATTAAGAACGTAATGAATGAACTCTCAAATATTTTCATGAGTCTTCTGTTAAACAATCAATCACCCTGTATATAAAGAATTACGTTTTTTGAATTCCATGAAACATTTTGATGATAAATGAGATTTTTATATTTTATGATATTTAGGCCAAAAATATCCTTGGTGCTAAGGAATCATCTTCTTCCCATGTAGATGAGCCAATAGAAAATAATAGACTTGAAAGTTTTAATGAAACCAATATTGCCAGTTCTAGCTCAGCCAACGAGTCAAAAGAGGAAAGTTTGGTAAGAATTTCTTGCTATAATCGATGTCAAATAACATATGATTTACAAACCATTTTTTAGGCGTTGAACGGGGATTTTGACTCACTAACAAACCATCATCTATCAAAAAAGGAACTCAATACTCAATTAAGAATACACAATGAAAGAGAACAAATAGAGAATGAGGATCAAAAAAAATCAGCAAGCAAATCCCATGATATAAACAAGAACAAACCAAAAGAAGATGAGGACAATATCCCGAAGAAGTCTCAAAAAAAATCGGAAAAATCCCAGGAAATAAATTCAGAAGAAACAGATGAGAAGAAACGTAAAAAAAATCAGAAGAGAAACGAACAGAGACAATATAAAGCTGAACTTGAAAAACTGAAAGGCTATGAAGAAGATGCTTCAAAGGAAGATTATAATATGTGGGTTCCACCTACTGATCAAAGTGGCGATGGCAGAACCGACCTAAATGATAAATATGGTTATTAAAAATAAACATTTTATTTAATCCACATTAGTATTTGTTTTCTCAATTAAGATAGTTATATCTTAAAGTAGCGACCATGCTTCTCTGTTGGTCAAATAAAAATATTGGAAGATGAAAGGTATTAAATGTCCAATATAAGAAATTTATCACCTGAGGTCAATATTAGAATCTCTCTTTCAAGATTTCCAAACACTCGCTAGCTTACGTGAATCCAGCTATAAAATTATTGTGAATAAGGCCAGGGTTACCCATTTTCTTAATTCTTAATTTTTGTTCTTAATTCTTTATCTTTAAAAACACCAATGTTAAATAAATTGAACTTTTAAAGAATTAACGACAAATATTTAAGAATTAAGGAATTGGGTAACCCCGGCCTAAAGGGTTGAATTCCTGATTAAAAATACTGAAATTAATTCCCAAGTTTTTATTCGAATAAAAAAAATCAAAATTACATACATCTTTTCATATAACAAAATCATAGTGTGACTCGCATAACGTGCCTATTTTGGCGTTACTTAATTGGTAGCTTGAATACACGCATACACACATGTATCTACCTTATATATTTTTTTAAATAATCACATATACCTAAAGCTACAAATTTTTTTAAATATGTAAATGCCAATACCTTCCAAAGAACAGGAGGCCAGTGTAAAAAGAATTGCCATTTGAGGCTCATTGATACTGTGGAAGTGCCATACTTATCAAAATAACTGGCAAGTACATACAATGAAAAAAAAAATCCTAATAATTAACTAAAACTGACAAATGGGAGAATTTTTTTTTAAATAATTCACATAGTAACTAAAAACAGATCTACCGCAGTCATTTTACTGGGGTTACTTCAGCGGGAGTTGGTTCTGTTTTAATAATTTTCCCAGTGTCACCTGAAAGAACATAAAATTAGCACATAGTCACTCTGAAACTGATCAAGTTGCTTAGAGCGAGAATAGATCAGATTTGATTGTTTTACATCATGACTCTTCAAGAGTAGCAAATACTAATAAAAACATCATGTATCAAGAATAGTTTTATAAGAGATTGAAAAAAATAATTAAAGAAGCTTACTTTCTGATCCCTCTTGTTCGCCACCTGAACGTCTACGTTTACGAGCAGCTCTGTCACGTTTGAACGTTTTCTGAGTGGCTGGAAGAGGTTCCATTCCCAGAACCTGAAAAAATTACAATTATGCTATTTATGACATATGTACTAGTGAGTCCCGGAAAATTCTTTGAAAGGAAAATTGTTTGAACGGAAAATTGTTCGAATGGAAAATTGTTCAAAAGGAAAATTGTTCGAATGGAAAATGGTTCCAATGGAAAATTGTTAATAAATGTACATACTTATACGTCTCGGAAACGTAAATCCACCAAAAACGTGGAAAACCTTTTTTAAATACAACAGCTCGAAATTTTAATTATTTTTAAGTCTCCGATTGCTTGCTTCGCTCACCAAATCTCAAAGAGAAGATCCGCGGAACCATAAATTCGACGTTGGTACAAAAGAACGCAGCTCAAAAGCGAGCGGACAAAAGGGCGTAGGTCAAAATATTATTGGCAACCAGTACACTTCTAACCAGTATTAAATGAACTAACAAAACTAACCCGTCCACGTAATGCAATTATTTTCGAACAATTTTCCGTTGACGATGTACTAGCAATAAATAAATTCATAACTGAATGCAAAATTCAGTTTAACAATCAAAGAGCCTTCAAAATAAATCTAGTTCACCATTATTACCTTATAAATTTGTCTAAAAGAAATCAGCCTGAGCGCGTACTGCGCCGAACACGTCAAATCTTCCCTCTGTTGAGCGCTCAAAGCTCCGGAGGCGTCAGGGCCTTCTTTTTCGCACGGATCGGCCAATCCTGGACCACCAGGCAACAAAATTCCTCCTGCTACCGCTTCCATAACTCGTCGAAGAGCGTCTCCAGGCGACAATTGGGCTTGTCCTGGCGTGGAAGAAATTATCTTTTCTGCTAGCAATTCCATGGCCTAAAAGATGATTTATGTTTTTATTAATATATTTTTATTTTTTTGTGAAAAATCAGTTAAAATTATTGAAAGATTTCATCAGATTGAGTAGTTAACATCATGACTCTTCAAGAGTAGCAAATACTATTAAATCCATCATGTGAAAAATTCAGGCCTATGCAATAAGAAAAAATGTAAAAAATCACTTACCCATGGACTAAGAGGCGACCAAGTGGGTACCCTCTGGCACAGATCTCTTAAAATTCTGATAATAACGACACAAGATTGTAAGCCCAAAGCTCTAGCCTGCAAATGTCAAAATTTGTGAGTACATTCAATTAGTTATACAACTAATAAAATAAAGAAAAATTCCGCGAAAAAAAAAAAAAAAGAATATTATTTATTCCTGGTGATAACTTTTTTTTAAAAATAATCCACAGTGACCCCCTTAATAGATATTTTTTTTAGCGGAAATATTAACACAGGCTTACAATTTAGGGAAAAGATTTACAAATAGAATAAATAAAAACCAATGAAATAGACTACAAAAATCTTTTGCGAAATTTTAAAAATATAATATTCCATAAATTGTAGTCTTCAGTTACCCCCTTAAACTAACTTATTAAATTTTTTTTTTCCATGGGTACCAGGTTATTCATATCAACGCGCTTCGCGGATTTCCTTTTGCTTTTTCTTAAATAGTAATAAAATACACAACAAAAAAATTCGGAGTGTTGAGAGTAAAGAGAAACAAACCTGGAACCATTTGGTATGTCTGAGCGCTGCCAGCGCCTGGAGACATTTTCCTCTCGATAGTACATCCCGGTCCGTACCGCCGCTTGCAGCTTCTAAGACACATTAAAGGGTGTTTGACCATTGCTTGCCATAGAACTTTAAGCCCGGCCCAGGAACAACAAGAACGGATCCTACTTTTCATAGTTTTATAATTTTCAATTGATTGCAAGACCTGTTCTAGTTATAAATCTGGGCGTAGCTTAGCCTTGGGCCGCATTATTGATCAAAAATCCTTATCATCCCACAACCGTAGCTGATGGATTCTAGAAAACGGGGCATTAAGGCACAGTACACACTAGTGACACATAAGTATTGGACTGTAAATATGTTTTTTACCATCATTATATGCATTTGATTTGTTTGAAGGCGTATATAATGACATGAAAACTCATCAAATTACCACTCCAACAAACTAAACAATAAATGTTGACATTTATTTGTCTGTTCGCAGTAGTAGGTTCTTCTCTCTTCAGCCTAGAAAAAGTCCAATATTTATTAGCTAATCAAGGTTTAAGCTGTCAATAATGCAACACACCTAATAATGAATTCTATTCAAATGGGCTGGAAAATTAATCAATCATTAATCAAAACTATAACTCTAACTATTTCAATGTAACAAAACCAATGGCAAAAATTAAAGATGAGATTAACTTGCATCAAGAAAAACAAACTGTTGCTTATGCTAATACACATACTTACGAATTCTGCTACTTTAATAAATCCAAGTAGGGCTTTTGTTGGTGCTACTTTATCAAACTTTAATTTAGTCATTTCAATGTATTTGTTACAATTTTAAAAATGGGCTAAAAACATGATAAAATACTCAGCTTAAACCTCGCGGTACTGCCCGCTCATTCCACATCTAACAAATGACAAATTTGACAAGGAAAAATAAAAAACCGCCTCAATAATTTATTTAAAAGGACAATTTCCTATAATTACTGGACAAATATATCAATCCCACTTCTTCTCCCATGCTCAATTTGGTTGCCAATCAAACAATATTTCTGCACAAAAACATTATTTGAATGGCATACTAAATTAAAGCCAATCATGCCTCTCAAGTTGTTTTTTAAAATCCTTACCCAATATCTTACCATGAAAATGCAAGACTTACCTTGTTCACGCATTACTGGACTAGTCAGTTGAACTAATACAGTCAGTCCCTCAGTTTGTACAGTCAAACCAGCTTCTGCAGGATTAATTGTTACTTGGTAGGAAACCTCAGGAGCAATCTATAAAATAAATTGTAGATTGTAGTGTAGTTAAAATTACAACAGAAATACAGAATTTGGTTATTTTTCCTTGTGATAAAATCAGATACAATATTTACCTGTTTGAATGCAGGAGGCAACAATTCAACAACTTTCTTTAAAAGTGTGAGTGTAGGTTTGTCAGCACACAAAACCACCAACTCTACATTGTTATCGCCCTTCAACAAAAGTCCCTTGGCAAGATGCCCAACTCGCATTACACCCCGCAACATACGAGAGGCATCTTGTTCCTTTTGGAAAGAAAACCTATGAAAAAAAAAAAAAAAACATGTTTGCTATTTTATAATAAAGCCATATTTTAATTTGACTTACAGTTGATTATCGCGACCATCTTCCTTCTGAGGTTGTTGTTGTTGGTCAGCTGGTTTGTCTTTTGTAGCTGTAGCTGCAGCTGCGGCATCAGCTTCAGCAGGTTTGGCTTCAGCCATTTGATCTGAGACCTGCTTCAAGGCGCGTTCAGTATGGGATACAATTCGTTGCACCACTTGCAATTCTTCTTCTTTTGGATATATTTCAGTGTGCTTAGCCATTACATGCCGATCGTCGTTGGAATCTGCACGTCTGGGAGTGTGACCACCAGGGAAGAACTACATACAATAAATTAACATTAGAATATTCTAAGTTTTAATGATTATTTATAACATACCGGTGGTCCACCAGGGAAAGGTCTGCCTCTAGGGAAGGGTCCACCTCTGTTCATCATATCAATGTATTCTTCATAGCGGCGTCTGTCTTCCCAGTACATGGATTCTGCAGAAAATAAAAATTTACATAATTTCATTATAATTTAAATTTGAAGATCATACCTTCATCTTCCATGTTAAAACCATGTCTTCGAGCCCAATATTCTTCTCTCATAGCCTATAACAATTAATAAATACATAAATACAAGTTTACTAGAAAATAGCCTCAACAAGAATGCATATTGTTTAATGTAAGAAATTTCAAAACCTTCTCAATCTTTAGCCTTCAAAGTTAGAAGGGTGAAGCAATGTCTTTTTGATTTGCGACAACCTTAAAATTTTGAGAAACATCAACTCAGTTTAACAAAAGGAACAATTGTCGCTGAAATTTAGGAGGTGCAAAACAACACAAATTTTCTCAGAAAGAAAAATTCAATAGTCACTGACTAGCACCGTTGCCATATAGTTCCAAGATCAGGAGACCTACAAAACTGTTCAAAAAATAATACAATATACATGTCACAGTGAAGAAAAAAAACTTGTTTTGTCGCACCCCCTTTTTTACCACACCACTACTTACTGCCCTGCGTAATTTTTCTTCTTGAATTTTCCGTTGTCTAAGTGATGGTTTGACATCAACAACAAGATCAGGATTAACTTTTTTCTTATACTGCAATCTATGTCGCCTTCCTTTCATATGCATTTCTTTAGCATTTGGGTCATTGAATCGACATTCACACAATTTGCAGTTGAAACTCATTACCTATGAAAAATAATTTTTGTTGAGTCCATTTTTTGCTTCATTTGTAATTTTTTTGTAAAGTAGTGAAAAATTGTACAGAATATTGGGCTACAGAATGGCCTATTTGAAAGGTACATTCTGCGAAAAAATCTGATATTTGTTTTTTGCCTAATTTGTAAAACATAGCATGCTACATTAAGCAAGCTTGCCTCTCATATTTTAGGCATATCAAAAATTATTTAGTACAGCATTATGTACCTTTCCATCGTCACTTTTAATTTCTTCTATGTAATCCTGTCCAACAGGCTGAATATCAGGTTCCGGTGTATCATCTACTTCGTCTTCTTTAATAGAATCTCCATTACTTCCCTGTAATAATAGTTGAAAAATAGCAAAATATTTTTGTGTGCAAAGGGGGTGTCAACCAAAAAAGTTTTTCTTCCACACTAAACACATTCTATAGAGAGAAAAAAACGCCCTGAAGATATTCGCATACTAGAGAACACATTAGTTTTTTTTTTTTTTTGGTCTACACCTCCTTTATAAATTCAATAATTTTGGAGGATGATATAAACTATATTATATTTTGAAAGTCACAATTATTTTTAGTTTAGTAAATAAAATAATGATTTTTTCAAACACTGAATTATATAGATTTATTTTTATAAGCGTCTGTACTAAAAATGTGTCCAATACCGTCCTAAAGTTAAGTTCTCCCAAACAACAAACAGTGTCCTTACCTGGTTAGAAGGCAAGCCCAATCCACCAGACTGAACAAAATTGATCTTGGGAGCACTAGCGATGGACTTTTTAACTCCTCCAATAACTTCTGGTTCTTGTGGAGGAATTGGTTTTCCCAGTTTTGTGTGTAGCAAAACGACCTAGAGATAGAAAAATATATAACAATTTGAATGGAAATATTGTTAATAAAGAGGTATTACTTTTTGATGTTTAGCTCCACGAATGTGGGCAGCATAAGCATCGTTGCCCGTACAAGTAACGTCACACAATTGACAACGGAGGGAATTTCCAGATCTGTTAGCATTGGTAGTGGCAACGCTGGCAGCCATTTTAGTTGCAGCTTCTCTCTTTTTGTGTTTTTGTCCCTCCAAATGTTCCCTGTAGGTTTGCGGACCAGCACAGCTTATTTTGCATACATCACAGTAGTGCAATTGTTGAGGTTTAGGTGGCGCCTTGGGTCTTTGGCCCTTGTTGCCACCGCCGCCCCTCTTGAATCCCTGCCATCCTACTGACTTCTGCATGTTACCTTGGGCATTTTGGGCCACTCCGCCCTGTTGCTGTTGCGCCACGTACATTGTTGCTGCGGAATACAGAGCAGCGTCGTAGCCTGAATATGTTCCGCTGTTTGCTAAAAACACTAACCATTAATATAGTCTATCAATAAGCACACTGTAGGACAAAGTAGCTTTTGAAAGTTTTTAGGTTTATTATCAGAATTGGTTGTTAGCATCATGATTCATCAAGAGTAGCAAATACTTAAAAAAACATCATTTAAAACCTTTTTGTTTTATATAAGCGATAATTTCTTTAAAATGCTTACCTTTAGCTTGAGTGGTAGGTTGGGCAGCTATTGTAGTTTGAGACGCGGGTTGCGCGTATGTGGCTTGATAAGCGGACGCGTTTGGTTGGTATGCAGCAGCGTACTGAGCTGGTTTAGCAGCCGCAGTCTACAAGAAATCTTAAGTTAGTTTTCATCTCTCATTAGCAATTAAGAAAATAATGAAATTATTAAACTAACTTAAAAATTATCAAATAATCATCACTGCTTTATGGGATGATGCTAATGCACCAGTTGCTATAAGAATATTAAAATTTAGAGATATTCAGATTGTAAAAGAAAGTGATTAGCGAATTGGCATCTATTGGATGTTCAACTCTGCTCTGAGATTCTGATGTTGATTTTGATATTTGATCTTAAAGTGTTACTGTTAAAAGTTTCAAGTAATCTTATTGTATTTTGACTCTGTAACCTTTTGCTTAAGCAACATTTATAAAATATATTATCTGATTCATAAGAACTTCAAGAACATTTCCGAAATTGAACTGTAACAGGATGTGTAATAGTTTTAGTTAGTGAAAAAAATTGTGCAATAGTACAAATAGTATAAAGTTGCTGATATTTGTTCCACACAACAGTGAACCAAATTGTGTTGTTTGTTCATAAATAATTTATTTCATTTTTATACTTGACCGAGTTGGGATTAAGGGTCTTTATCAATTTCCTTTCATTATTGTGTATATTTCAGTTGTAGGTAAATAAAAAAAACAGTGTTAGAAATTAATAAAAAAACAATTATAAACTAATTGAATTTTGAAACTATCAATTCCTAGTTTCTATAGCACGGTGTCTGATCACAAACTAGTACTGAAAACTGAATGTGTAATTCTCCCTGCTTCAAGTAATAATTTTAAATATACAAGCAGGTTTTTTGAACTCACCGCTTGGGTTGCCCTTTGTTGATAAGTGGCAGCGTAGGTTGCTGGTTTAGCAGCAGCTGCTTGTTCGTAACCTTGTGTGTAGGTCGCTGCCGCTGATTGTCCGTAACCGTATTCGTAGGCAGGTGTAGCTCCAGTACCAACTGTTGCATAAGTTCCCTAGAAAAAAAAAATTAAAAAATGCAAAACAGAAACAATAAATAACACAGTGAGGGCAAATGCTGTATTCTGCTCATTTCTCAAAGTACTGGGCCCTTATTCTTGGAACAGGGTAGCAGCGTTCCCGTGAGAATGAGTGTTCCATCTTTGCTACTCATATTATCATTCAGAAATACAGAGCAATCGTTCTCATGAGAACGCTGGTCCCTGGTTTTAAGAATAGGTACCCTGAAGAGTTGTTCATAGTGTTATGTGATACAGGGTGGAAACTTAAAAAGGATCCACCTGGATTTTCTCGAAAATTATCAGGAAATTAAAAAAACGTCGAAACAAGTCGATTTTGTTTGCAAGGGGAACACTTTTTGGCTATTTCAAAATTTCTCTAGATTGCACCCCCTACCGGGGTGAGCTGCACCCTCAAAAGTTGAATAGGAAAACTGGGTCAAGTGGTTTTCTGTTTGAGAGGTATTTGAGGTGACTTTACAGATCTGTAATTTATTTCGAAATCTGACTACTAGTTTTCAAGATATTCGCCTCGAAAGTTGCCATGGGGCGAATAGAGAAGGTGTTATTCGTACATTTCTACAAGAAAAAAATTAAATTCCTGAAACACGTCAATTTTGTTCATTTTGAACCTTTGTTTCTTTGTTAGTTTGAACCTTTTGAACGACCTTTCAAACATGACCCACTTTCCAATTTTTCAAGAGAAACACGTTCTTTTTTTGACCCATGGCAACTTCCGAGGCAAATATCTTGAAAACTTAAAGTCAGATTTCGAAAAAAAATGACAGATCTGTAAAGTCATCTCAAATACCTCTCAAAAAGGTACCACTCGATCCAGTTGCCCTATTCAACTTTTGAGGGTGCAACTCACCCCGGTAAGGGGGTGCAATCTAGGAAAATTTTGAAATAGCCAAAAAATTTCCCCCTTGCAAACAAAATCGACGTGTTTCGGCGTTTTTTTAATTTCCTGATCATTTTTGAGAAAATCCAGGTGGATCCTTTTTAATTTTCCACCCTGTATATCTAAGACTATGACTTGGTCATGAATACAACTCAGAATACAAGGACTAATACTTTTCTTCAGACACTTAAACACTCAGTAAATCAAAACGCTGGAGGAACTTGAAACTGGAGATGAATTTTAATGCAGAAGAATGTGTAAAATTTGGAGTTGGAGTGGAAAATGAAAAAGGGAGCTATTTTCTTCCTTAATGAAGCTAGCTAGAACATCCCTATTGCTGCAAAGCTTCCGCTAATTACTCCAAGTGTAAGTCAGCAACTAAGTGGCCCCTCAAAAAAGCCCTTATAAGAGAAGAAAAATGAATGGTGAAGTAAAGTTCTGTAGCAACAATGATGTAGATGCACTAGGCTCAAAAAATCAGTATTTTAGTTTTTCAACTCTGTCCAACTTGGAGTACACAGTGAATTGAACATTGATAAGCTTAATGTATTTGAAAGAATGGGTACTGCTTCATTGGGGGGGACCTTCTGTTGCAAAAAAAACAAGCCTCAGAATATTGGCAGTTTTTCTAAATAAAGCTCCCATAATACAGTTTAGTCAAACGCCTTTGATTTTAATAAGATTTTAATTTAGTTTCACAAGCCAAATGTTCACTAATTTGCAAGGAGTGTTGGACTTGGCCCAAAAATTAATTTTAGGCTGACCTCTTTCAATTTTTTTTTTTTTGATCTCAAGATTAATATGAAAACCACATGTAAAGAAAAATATTCTCCCATTTTATTTCATTTTTAATATATTTTTCGAATTAGATTTTCTAGGTCCAAATTCAATTTTGCTATCAAATCTAAAATGATTCTCATTTACAAAGATGCAATCTGTAATAAAATCAACTCTTTTTTTCAAGATTGTTTCAATGCTCATGGAAATTAACATATCTTTATTGGTAATGACTTCTAGAGATACAGATTTTTAACATGGAGGTTCATTGTACCTCATTAGTAACAGTTCACGAATTATACCTACCCTGAATTTTTTTATACCATAGTAAAGGACACAAATAGATTTTGGAATGATGTACTAATGAGAAATTTGGCATCCTCATATTTTTATTGATTCTAAAGAAGCTCTTTCGATTTTCAATTTATTTTAGTTTAAAAAATAAGCGGTTTATAGTAAAAAAAAATATACAGGTGTTACTAGAATGACTAACAATGGCACAGACCATTTTAAGGAAAGTGTTAACGCTTAAAGTGACATTTTAACTTAAAGCATTGATTATTGGTAAACTTCCCTTAAAATGGTCTGCGCAAATAGCTGTATCGCAATAATTTAGACAGGAGTTTAAATATGTTTTCGAAAAATCTGAAAGTGGTCTTATTGTAGGTTAATTTATTGATGTGGAATAATCAAAGTTTTTATTCTTACCTGAGCAGCGGCAGCCGTTTGATAGGCTGAGTCGTATCCTGCTGCTCTTTGAGTGCCGTAAGTAGCTGCAGCTGCGGTAGCAGGAGACGCAGCTACTGCATATCCAGGTTGGCCAGCTTGGTACGCGGCTCCAGTAGCAGTTGCACTAAAAAAAAGAAAAATTGCTCAACTTTACTTCAAGAGATATTTTATTTGACATGATCAGCCTAGTGTTTAATTTAATTATTTTTGCGGGGTATGTTCAAGTAATTCCTGGAATAAGGCAGTAAAGAGAAAACTAAAAAAATCAAGTCCAGGGCTCGATGAAATCCCTCCTGTCTTCCTCAAGAACTGTATCCTGGTGCTAAAAGGGCCACTAGCCGACATGCTTAACAACATAGCAGGAACAGGGGAATTCCCTGCAGCATGGAAAAAAGCAGTGGTGTTGCCTATTTATAAAAAAGGAAATAAACAGCATGCAGAAAACTATCGACCTATTAGTTTCACGAGTACACTGTGCAAATGTATGGACAAAGACAAAATAATTGCAAAAGAGCTCACCTAAATTTTATGGGCACACGAGTCATACCAGATCAGCAGCACGGCTTTCTTCCCGGGAAATCGACGATTACAAATCTCCTAACAAGACTCAACCACTGGACACTGTCAGATGATAACCACAAACCAATCGCTGTGATTTATCCTAACTTCCAAAAAGCATTTGACAAAATACCAACACAGTTCCTAATTCATAAAGTCGAACACGTCGGAGTTAGGGGCAATTTACTCCAGTTGATCAAAGGATTCCTCACAGGAAGAACTTTTCGGGTGAGTACGGCGTGTGCAACACTTTCACAAGAGCACAGAGTGCATAGTGGAGTACCACAGGGATCAGTTCTTGGTCCTCCACTCTTTATTGCCTATTTAAGTGATCTATATCTAGGGCTGGAAACAAGAAATGCATCTTTTGCTGATGATGGAAACATATACGAAAAGCCACTTTCGCAACATGCTGCTATTCAGAGAGATCTAAACAATATCAAAGAATGGACACAGCTATGGAAAATGCCCTTGAATGATTCCAAATGCACAGTTCTACATATTGGCCAGAACAGCCCTAAATTGAATTACTTTTTTGAACAGTTCCAAATAACACCTGTCATACAACAGAGAGATCTAGAAATCACTGCAACCCAGGACTTGAAATAGGAAACTCACATCACGCAAATGACCAAAAAAGCCTATTCAATGATTTACCTCATGCAAAAATCATTTAAAGACCTCTCCAAAGATATGATACTAAAGCTACATAAATCATATGTCAGGCCAAGAGTGGAATATGCACAAACTATTTGGAATCCTTACTATGCTAAAGACTAAGAGCAAATTGAGAGAGTACAACGAAGAATAACTGAGCTGCTTCCAGACCTTCATGAACTGCCCTATGAGGAACGATTAACCCAGCTAGACCTAACCTAACCACCCTAAAAGATAGAAAAATGAGGGGAGATCTCATTGAAACTTTTAGATATAGATAGAGATATCTGCAAAAAAACATCTTCAAACAGAAAGTTGACAGCAAATGTAGAATGTGTGGAAAGGCTGAGGAACATGTGAGCCACATCATAGCGGGATGCTCGACATTAGCACCCTCAGAATATACACATAGGCACAATAAAGTTGCGGATTATATTCACTGGGTTATATGTAACTATTATAAATTCAATGTTACAGAGAAATATTACCAGCACACCCCTGAAAAAGTTGTTAACATTAAATGTAATGATCTTGACATCACAATATTATATGATGTTCCTATCAATACTTACTGAAGCATTAAGGCAAACCGACCTGATATTGTAATCCATGATAAGAAATCTACATCATGCCTATTAATAGATGTTGCAGTACCTGACAACATGAATATTGCAGTCAAAGAAGTTGAAAAACTAAGTAAATACAAAGATCTGCAAATTGAAATATCTAGAATGTGGAATGTCAAAACAAGGGTGCTTCCTATAGTGATTGGAGCGTTAGGTACTGTCACAAAAGAACTGGAGCAGAGAACAAGTGAAATACCAGGTCATCCATCATCTATGATGCTACAAAAAATTGCTCTCTTAGGCACTGCACACATCCTAAGAAAAGTGTTAGGATAAACTGATATGTTACTTTGAACTCTTGTTGAGCTCTGAACCTATCGAGAAATTGAGGATAATAATAATAATAATAATAATAAAGATCAAGGGTACATCTTATTGGTTCAGAAGGTCTCAAGAATTAAAAATTAGGGACAAATAGTAAGAATTAAGGAATTGGGTAACTCCGGCCTAATTGCTTGCTTGCTTGTATACTCCTGGACAAAATTATCGCACCACTGCTTATGGTGGTGCTTATGTGCAGTGGTGTGATAATTTTGTCCAGGAGTATATTACCATTTATAATTATAGGATCAGATGGCCAGTTGTTTTGCTCTTGGTTTGATTGGTCATTGATTGGAACAGGGGTTTTAAAAGCCCCGGAAAGCCCTGATTAAGTTAGTAGCAGAATCAACCAACAGCAAAATGCCGGCCCTCATTTTTCTCAACTTTTTATGTCTTATCTCTTTACAAGATCCTTGGGGGCATTTTGATTCAAAACACCCTCTTTCTCTTTACATGGCTAATAGACCTTAAACTAATAAATAGTAATTAAAATTCAATCGACTTATCTTCCTAATAATAGAAAATGCCAGCCATTTCCGACTATGCAATGATCGCTGACGCTGCCAAAGCGGGCAGAGGCGTTTATCGATTGCATGCTTGCTCAAAATATTTAGTTCTATAAACTGTATCAAAATATTTCCGAAATAAACAAACACATCATACACACTAAATAATTACAATTTAACAAGTTAAAGCAATAAAATGCACAAGAGATATTGAAAACTTTGCATCGGTAAATGGGTTCAAGTAGGCTGCCATCGCCGCCGTTGACAAAACGAAGCAAAGCAGGATAATTTTGCACTTCTAGGAATGCTAAGTACTATAAAAAGATGGAAATTTACAGGACAATGATAAATTGGAAGGATTCTATTAAATTTGGGGCTCCAGAAATTCGAATTAATAGTAAAAATGTTACTTACACGTGCCTGCAAAAAGTAGAAGAGATAAAACCCGGCTAACAAAATGGCCGATCTTATAGGCTCCTACACTGCAACGTTGCCGGATTTTTTCCCTATATAGTTTTTTATTTGATTCGCAAAAATTTTTCAAAAAACCAGTTTTTTGTTCTACCTTTAGCGCTTTAGCGTGGATTTTTTTTTGCAAAAATGTTGATTCAGATTTCAGTAGGCTTCACAAATTTTAATAATTTATTACGAATGGAAACCATGAGCCGGTGCAAGGTGCAATAAAGTGGAAATTTCAATGGTTAGGATTTTCTAGTGTACCAAAAACTTATTTAAAATAACCATAATTTCATTGAAATCATGGCATAATTACATTTTTGATAAAATTATAATTTTATTATCAACAGTAAAGTAGCCAATTAAAATAAAAATCTGGCAACATAGTACCCTGTTATCGATTCAACTCCTACAAAATGCCGGCGCGAGCCGTTCAAGGACACGAAATTTACAAATACTTTCCAGCTATTTTCTTAAGTTTTCCGCCAGCCAGCGACTAGCGATCTACATAGAAATTAGGCTCGGCATTTGAACGTGCAAAATAAATGCTTTTTACTTACCTATATTGTGTTCCACCGTGAGTAAAACCAAAATAATTATTCGTGGCCATCATACACAAGTACACACACAACACGGTTGACAAATCGAATGAAAGTGGCGCCACCAGGGCCGACAGCGGTTCACTCACTTATTAAACGGAAATGGGTTGGGTTTGTGTGGTTAGGTTGTAAAATTTAAATTAAGGCGGGAAAGAAATTTTCTAATAATTAGAAAAATATTTTTAAAGAATAATTATTTATGGAACTAGTGTGCTTGAATGGAAATTGAAATTTTATTAGCACATGTTCACGAGTGCCACTAACGAGGGTTCTGTCGAAATGAAAACTTCAAATTGGTTATAGTCAACTTTATCCTACTCGGAACCTTACAGCGCTTCCGAATTTTGCCTCAAAACTTCACCCGATTCAAGCCGGAGTCGCATCCGTTTTCCGACAAAAGATGTCCGAAAAACCTTCTATTCTGACATAATCGTATGAAAATATGTCAGAATAGAAGGTTTTTCGGACATCTTTCGTCGGAAAACGGATGCATGAGAGTCCGGCCTAATCAAAAAGTGATCCAAAACGGATTCAAACGTTTGGCTTCAAATGGAGCGTTGCTCTCGGCGAGATTCACGTTTGACTTGAGCAATAGAACGCTCTGGAATCTCGCACGGAGCACCCTTTCTTGCTCCATCAAATCCGATGGATCAGTTTGATCAAAATGGTACTTTCGGCTAGTGATTTCAAATCTAGGCTAATGGTGTGCCCTCATTTGGATTTTATTCGGAGCACTCCCGCAGAGATCTGATGCCTGCCTTACAACATTTCCTGTGACATTTCTTATGATATATGGGTTTCGTTCCGGTACCGGTTCGCAAAGAAAAAACGGTTCGAACGTTCCGATTTTCTGTTGTTCGCTCTCTTTTCCGGATGGATGGATGGATGGATGGAGTATTTCGGAATGTATAGGTACTGTATTCCACATTTTGCGCAAAATCCTGAATGTCAAGTCTGTTCGCACAGAAATCACAAACTCATAATGAATTTCTGTTTAAAAACGGTCTAGGGTACTTGCATGAAAAAATAAATTGATTATTGTTTATTGCAAACTGTAGGAAATCGAAAAAAAATCGATGCGTGTTTTTCTATTTTGTCCAAATATGATTATTTCAGAAGTTATAATAAATATTGAGTTTTATATATTATAATAGATATACTGAGCATGTGCGACGTCACAACTCACAACGTATTATACCTAAGTTATGACGTCGGAAGGACATTTCAAAGCGTTGTATCTCCGACAATTTTTGACTCACAAGAAAAAGAAAAAACACGTGTTGACTTATTTTTCATGGACTATCGAAATCCGCAATAAAAAAATTTGATGCAAGGAGCCTATAAGCTCACCTTCGGCCAGTGACTTATTGAACAGTAACCATAGTGGTCTCAGGGTTGCCCAGACGTCCCACCTTAGGAGGGACAGTCCCGCATTTTGTTAATCGGTCCCGCCTTTTTTTAAATAATTTCAGGTCCCGCTTTTTACGTGAATTGTCCCGGTTTTCCCGTTTTTTCCACCCAATCTTCACATTCAGTGCAAAAAACACGCTCATCTTACAACTTGTTACATAAATAGCTATTTCTTCATTTAAATCGACACAAAAATCAAATAACGAGCTTGAATCGCAAGCATTTCATCAAGGTCTGCGGGTGACGTCACCAGTATTGGCTGCTGACGTGGTGACGTCACTCGCAGACCTTGTGGACTCGAGAACCGGCAAACGTACGCCTTCTCAGGATGAGCAATCCTGTTAGTTAACGATTCTTGGGTTTTAATATGTTGTATGTTGTAGGTATAAAAATGTCAAAAATTCCAACAAAATCCAAATGTTTCATTGCACAAACTAGCATCTGCAAAAATCTTTTTTTCTGGCCATTGAAAAATAAACAACTTTCGTCAAAAATCATTTTTTCTATGATCGTTAGAAAATAAACAATTTCCGTCATATTTCACCTTAGCCGAAAACGTCACTTTCGTCACTAGTGATAAAATATCTAGTGACGAAAGTGAATGATTAGGATTTTACGTATTAGATGGCGTTTTGATTCATCCACGTTTTCAAGCCCCATCTATTAAACGGCGTAGGAACCCTTGTGATTGAGAAAAAACATTACATTAGTTTAACAGCAAAAACCATAACATGGTCATAGAAAAAGTATAGCGTTTATTTATAGGGTATAAATAATGATGTTTTCTGTTGTTTTGTCGTGAAGCGTTTATTTTGTTATCTAATGAAGGAGAATTTCAACATCAGCCAGTGGCGCACCCACAAAATATGTTTGGGGGGCCCTACATGGGTTGTGGCTTATGACTGGAAATCTAAAAAAAAAATTGAGGTGTCAGGGTGCCACGCCTTGATGTTGATACATTTTTTAAACGTAAAAACACTCCTTTTACCCACGAATCCTATCTCTTATACTTAAGCAAGGGGACGAAGTGTTACCAGACTGTAAAAATACAGTTTTGAAGGGGTGGCCTGGGGGGCCCTGGCCCGATAGCACCCCCCCTGGGTGCGCCACTGACATCAGCAAACAACGACGGCGAAGTGACGAAATGATACCAAAACATTTAACCTTCTGATACCGATCGGTTTCAACTGACGTTAATAACAGACCAGACAGTATATAACCCGGTATCAAATGGTTTCATGATACAACTCTGTGAAAATGCTTAAGGCGTCCGGAGGAAATTTTTTGAAATTATCCATGTTTTACGGCATATCCCATAAACATTTTTTTTAGGCCTAAAATAATCGTTTTTGGTCGTGGCTCCCGAAAAAAAATTTGCCTCCTGCGGCGGGCTTTTTGTCTAAAATATTTCCCGCGTTCGAGGCTTTCAGAACCGGAGCTCTTGCATCATTGGTCCAAGGTAGCCGATTTCACAATAAGCAGCCCTAATTTAAATAAAATAATATGTTCTAAAATATATAATTGTTTTGAATAGGGGCGGCTTTTTCATGTTTGCACAAAAGCGGCAGAGGGGCTAGGACCGGCCCTGACCATATATAATCTTTTGCTGGATTATGTGATATGTCAGTTGTGTCATACTCCCGTAACTCCCGCATCATTAAATTCTGGAATACTCGAGGATCAAGGACACTTAATTTCTTCTGTGAGAACAGACCGAAAATCACCTTTTCTACATTTAAAATCGACGGTGACGCCAGCACTATAAGCTGTTGATCGTGACGTCACTCGCAGGCCCAGAGTTTGATGGTGAGGGAATCATATAGGTGTATGAGACAATTGACACATCACATAACCCAACCACAGCCGTGACCCAGCATAATCAGATTATGCTTGATTATCGTCGCCAAAAATTGCCTTATATTATGTAGATACCTAAGCAACATAACAATAACATTCCATTTTACAGAAGTTGATATTCTTTTTAGCTAAATATCGATATATTTCTCTTCGATATATCGATGCATCGATATCAGCTAATTCAGCTATACCGATATCGATATTTTTTTGAAAACTGCCATCCCTACATACAGCTGGGCAGTTCGTGTGACGTGACCTCTGTGAATTCACAAACGACCAAAAATGTCTAGAGGATTCTCAGATATATCATGCTCTAACAAAAGTTGATGGGATCTGGGATCAGAAAGGTAATGCCTGCCAAAAGTCGTAACAAATGGTTTACAGGCTACAGAAATTGAATTCTGAACAATACCTAATCATCACATCCCATCTGAACAGATCAGAAGGATCAACGAAACACAGAAACATTTTCAGGGTGATCTTACCTACAAACAATCAGAGGGCAAAGTGTAGGTATTGGCACCATCTATAAATCGCTTGATCAATAAGATAGGAAAGAATAGTGATAAAAGTATTATTTTGAAGCTAACTGCGTTCACCATCTAATCCAGAAAATAACAGGACTTTCTTTTTTTATTGGTCATTGATGCATCCACCATTATGAGATAAGATAGTCATTTCGATTTCCTATAAACTAGAGAAAGATAGACTGACGGCTCGCTAATCCACCAGCGGAAAAAAGAATGTGCACATAGCCAACTGAGAGCTGTCACTTCACTTTAGTTTATTTACTTACAAATTTCTTATATATTTTTTTAATTTTTTTTAGTTTGCCGAGCTTACTAGTAATATCCTGTCATCTTCTATATTTAGTTTGGGGTGATTGAATGATTATTGGCTGGTAAGTCGTATTCCATCCAATATTTTCCTTTTACCTTTCTTTTTTTACAAAATAGTACATAAGTATATTATTATTATTATAAAGCAAATAGTAATAAGGTTGTTTTTGGTTTACAGATGTAAATTGACCATTTTATTGTATATCTACAATTTCAGAACAAATCGTTGATATGCAAACCTAAATAATTCCCAAAGATGCCGGTACTAAGACCGAGGTGGATAGGCGAAAGAGCAGCAAGGCTCAATAACATCTTCAGAAATTCCCTAAATGATCAGGTGTTAACAGAAATTAATGCTGGTGCGGATTCATTATCGTTAACCACGCAAAAAGCATTGGAGAGGTGCGCACCTGAAATCAGGCAAGAAATAGTTAATAGACAAAGTCTATTGTATAGGGCATGTGAAAAAGGCCAAATAAAAATTGTCCAATATCTAATTGAAACATGCGGAGCAGATATCGAACAACATGGCATTTATAGCATACAGCAAGACAGATCTGTACACATTGTAACACCGTTATGGTGTGCTGCAGTTTCTGGTGACTTGAAAATGATGGAACTGCTTTTGAAGGCAGGAGCAGATGTTAATGCTGCTTCTGACTCTGGTTCCACACCTTTGAGATCAGCTTGCTTTATGTCCCATATTGATGTGGTCAAATTGCTTCTAGTACATGGAGCGAATATTAACCAAACAAATTTCAATGGGGGTACTTGCCTTATAAATTCAGTACAAAGCCCTGAGTTGTGCAATTTTTTATTGGAAAACGGAGCCAACATTAATGCTTATGACATTCAAGGTAAAACTGCATTGCACTATGCCATACAAGAACATAGGTTGGATACAACCAAAATTTTATTGGACAATGGTGCTGATCCATCTGCTGAAACAAGGTAATTATTTAATAGAATTTTATTTATGATGATGATGATGATGAAAAGTACGTACTTTATTGTCCAAGAGACATTCCATGTGATAGATTTTATTATTGACAAAGCATGCTCAAAAACTAAATGAATGGAAATAGAAATTTTAGATTGAACAAGACTTAAGGTCAAACATTCAACGACAAAAAAAAATCATATTGTAATTATTTTCCAAACAGAACAGCTGGTTCTCAGCTTATCTAGTGTTGTCACTAAGAATTGTATGTCTTGTACAATACAGCATGCTTTCAAACTAAAAATGTGTGTCATTATATCTCATTTATTAGTTTTGAATTAGTCCTCAAAGTTTCAAAGTTAAAATCATGATGATTTTTTTTCAGGTACGGAGATGATGCACTTCAAATGGCATGTCTAACAGCAACCTCGCCAATCTTCGAATATCTGACATCAAACATAAGCTATGAACCAGAAAGACTTGCTAATGCTCACGAACTTATTGGGGCATCCTTTTTGGATGTCAAAACCGATGTAAGTGTATGCTTGAACCACTGGGGAATAGCTTTAAGAATCAGACATGAAAACGGTTTGTATCCTAAAGTGCCTGCTCTGCTGCCTCAAATCGAAGCGTATAGGAATCAAAAAGAATTTGAAACTGTAGAAGAGTTATCAGCATTGGAAGGGAATATGGTAAATATAAGGACACACAGTTTGTTGGTTACTGAAAGAGTTTTGGGGACGCAGCATAGGGATACCATGCAAAGGTAAAAACAATTGTTTTTTAATATAAATTAGGGAGTTTATATTCTAAGACTAAGAAAGAATCGAAATAATACCTTCAGACTATATTGTGACACAATAAATAAATCTTTCTCACAGTTATTACAGCTTTTCATAATTCTATTTATTGTAGTATTCTGGCCATAAAGAGTCCTATGCTGACACAGTTCCAAGGTTCTTTGATCTCTTAAAAGTTTAGGAGGAACAAAATAATTTAATCCAAATAATAGCTCTGGACATTCGCATAAGCCAGTATTTAATTTATGAGCGAAAACTATATCAGCAGTTTCTCTCCTATTTTTCAGAGAGCCAATTTTTAGACTGCTCTGGAACTGACGATAAATTAGTTCCTCCATGGGAATGTGCATCTTATATGCTATATAAGTATCTAAGGAACTTTCTTTGAACTTTGTCTAGCAATATCTTGATATGTAATAAAGTAAAGAAACCATATGCTGGAAACATTTTCTAAAAGTGACCTCATAAGAGAAACGTAAAGCAGCTTTATAGCTGTGATATCATTAAAACTCATTGTGTATCATTTAACAAATCCTAACATTTATATTGCCCTATTTCTACAAATTTCAATATACTGTTGAAAAGTCAAGTTACTATCAAAGATGATTCCAAGATCCTAGATAAAATATGTTTGATTTGCCCATAATCTTACAGGCAACCAAATTGCATTGGAAAACTGCATCCTGCATCTCATTTTTGTTTTATTGCTTTTTCACGACAATAAAAATTCAAGGTTTGTACACAACAACATTTTTGTTAGATTCGAATAAAGCTATTTTTGACTTTGGCTAAATGCCAATTTTTGCCTGTAGTTTACTGATTCATACTCTGTTGAAGAAGTGTAATGTGTTTTGTAAGATGTACTTATTACTATAATTTGTGAACCAATATTAAAGTTTAGAAAAATATTATAAATCACAGATCAGACAATGTATAAAACTAGAAAGGGTTTTAGGTAATCATAATAAATAAATGTACTCTATAATTATAATTTGTGAAACTAATAATAAAATGTATATTAAAATGGTGTATTTCGTATTTCAGACTGAAGTTGCAATGATTTTATTTATATTTAAAGAAATAATAAAGATATCAATGTTAGAATCTACTAAAACAGAATTTGCAAGCCTTAACATTATTTTTGTTATGTATATACATATTTTGTTATGTTGTACTCTCGGATGTACCTTGATATTGCGACATTTTCATGACTTTTTATAATATGTACCTATATATTTTTTCTTTCTACAGCTTCGTCAATGGAACAACACTTTTTTGTGATGATAATGCATATGTATTTTAATTTTATTTGGGTTTATGTAAAAATTAATGACTAAAAAGATTCCCTCACTGCAGTGAATTATATCTGAAATTCTCAATTTCAGATTAATGTTCCAAGGTGCTGCATACGCAGATCAGATGCGCTACCAACATTGCATTGATTTGTGGAGTCGTGCCCTACACATTCGTGTTGAAAGAGACTCAATCTTGTCCTCAGATTCTCAATTCATTGTAAAAGCCTTGGTAATGATCATGGTCGATTATCATGTAAAATCTCTTCAAGAAGGAATTGATAATATGGATAAAAGGCGTAACGATATTGTGGAAACCTTTAAGCTAATATGTATGCACATTCTATGGGCGAAACCTTTGTTGCAAATAAGGCCTCAGCTTGATGAACAATTGCACACTTACGAAAAAACCTTAAGGTAATATTAAAATTGTTTTTTATTTCGTTTAAGTTAATTTTACTTTTAGGTATCTTATTTATTTGATTCATTTGTTAATTGAAACAGCGAAAACAGAAGCCAATCAAAATGAAGTAAAAAGAATGTTGACAATATTGTTGAAAGAAAATGTAAGGTGTTTCATGACAGGAAATTCACTATTGCACTTTGTTGTTCTAAGTTCACATAGTACCATAGAACACAGTTTGCCACAAACTAATCGGAGAGTTGCACGAGATATGATTGCAAAAATATTACTGCAATGTGGAAATAATGTCAATGCCACAAACCATCAGGGTTGTACACCTCTACATGTAGCCACCAGCAGAAAGCGATACTATTCTCCTGAATTAGTAACCGTTTTATTAGACTTTGGAGCTCATTTAGATCAAGTGGATGGCCATGGTTTTACAGCTGTTAATGTCTTAAGGTTCAAGAACCATCAGCATTCATCTTTAATCAATTGCACCTCCTTAAAATGTCTTTGTGCCACTAAAATAGTTAAGTCAAAAATTCCTTATGAGGGACAATTGCCTTTCACTTTGGAACAATTTATGAAGTTACATAAACGACGACCTATTTTTCAGGTTTTCAGTAATTAGGTTTATTCAGACATTGTGTGATACATTATTCATAATATTTATTTATTAGGTAAGTGAGCTGAAATAATGAAAAACGGCTAATTGTGGTTCAAAATATAAATACAGAAGAAATTTGTTATATTATTCTATTATATAAAACTGTTGATAAGATGTTTCTTTAAATTTTTAAGATAATAATATAGGTATTACAAATAGTAATAGTATTAATTTTGTGTATGTAGAATACCTAAATTTAAGTTTTGTAACGCTTTATTTAATAAGATTTTGTTGTTGTTGTGATATTCATTTAATAAAACACATTAAAATGGGTTTCCAAGTTGATTTTATTTTTAATTCACTTTATTGAAAACGTAAAACTACAAAAATTATCTACAATCAAAAAACAATCAAACCTACTGTTCCTTTGGAATTGGATCTTCAAGATCTTCAATATCTGCTGATCCTTCTCTAATGATTCTGTAGTATTTAGCAGTAGAGACAGGTCTGAAGTAGTAAGCTTGATAATCGACACGCTCATCCATCTTCTCCATTATTTTTGATTCAAGTTCTCTAAATTATCACAGAAATAACTATATTTGAATTAAATCAAAAAACATTTTACCTTAATTTTATTTTTTCCTGTTCAATAAAAAGATAAGTGCAGTATTTTTCATACTCTTGCTGGGGATTAGTCAATACGTATCTGGCCAACAATCTAGTTACAGGATTCTAAAAAAGTGAGTGTTTAACTTGATAAAATTATTTTAAGTTAAAACTCTCACTTTGTAATATTCCCAATGTTTAGGTGTGTAATCCTCTGGTATTTCCGAAAGAGTAGCAGGCCCGACAAATAAGTTCATGCCACCGACGAACAGGCTGCACGGAATAATTCCCAAAAATAAATAAAAGTGGACCAAATCTTTGAATTTATTCCATTGCCATCTTGAGGGTTGCATGGGAAATATTCTGTGGTCAGACATTGGCCTATGGACAGCTTGAATAGAAAAAAAATTGTACTTTGTCATATAACTTGGTAATTTTTGGTTTTAGAGCCGACTGTGGCTGGGAGCACTGAATAATATTTCAATTCAACTTTAGTCTAGTGTGTTCCTACTAAGGGGGGCCTTTAAAATCTTCAATATATTCAAAATAGTTATCATTTTTGGGGTAGAATTGTTTGCAATTTTTGTATGCCTTAACCTCAAAATGGTTACATAATTTTCTACAATCTACAGTATCTTACCTGATTTTTGTGCAGTTGGTAGGAATTTAACTAAGGGCCTCAACTTGCTCAATAGCGTCATTTTGGTGTTCTTCAATCAGGAGTTTATTTAATAAATTCAAATTATTGGATATTTTTTGTTTTGAAACCTCCTAGTGTTAAACTTGACAACTTCAATCCAAACAGCTGTTTTTTGACATTTGACTTCCCTACCAGTGTTGCCAACAGTATTTTTTTAATTCCGTCAACTTTGCTGTAGATTTCCGTCAAAAATCCGTTAAACCTTTTTTTTTTCCGTCAATAAAATCCGTCAGAATGAAACATGCGAAATGCCCTAAACAAATAAAATTTATTCAGTAGTTCCAACCAAATAATGCAGAGTTAACGACATTGACGGCAGTGCCATTTGATTTTAGGCCTTTTTAGAAACACTGATCCGTTTCACCCGATCACCAGAGGCATTTTCTTGCATCTCAAATGTTTCATAACATTTTTCAAAACTGGTTTAAGTAATGTCACCATGACGTCATAATTTCTCGGCGTGAGAAAATGGTTTGAAAATGTGGATTAGATTGCATTTTTCGAAACAATTTGAACCAATTTTGACGTGATGTCATGGGTTTATCGCGAGAATGTACTGTTTCAAAATAGTTTTGAACCAGTTTTAAAAAAGGGGACGCGAGAAAACGCCTCAGGTGTTTGTATTTTATCTTTTTTCAATGAACACCATTGAAAAAAGACAGATAATATCAGCTGGTGATCGGGACAGTCGGATCAACGTTTCCGTAAAGGCTTGTTTACAGACCAAAAGTAGCTTGAATCGCTAAACAACCAGTTTATTACATTTACAGAACATAATTTAGAATTTTTAAACGGAAACTTTGTTCCCGTTAAAAAATCCGTCATCCGTTGAAACTGTTTGTTTTCCGTTTCCCTCTACCAAAATCCGTTAGACATGACGGGAAATCCGCTAAGTTGGCAACGCTGTTCCCTACCTATCAATTATCGACGCTGTTGCCAAATTGCTGTTTCCATCTATTTCTTTTATCCTCAAGAATTGTTTTCTTAAAAAATACTAGGCTTAACTAGTGATCTCAACTGTGGAAAATTGTACTAGAATCAGAATCTCAATCCTGAGCATATTTCATATAAAGAAATGAAAATACAAATAATAAAATAACTAATATATTTGGCAACGCCGTACAGTCTTCCACTGTCAAAAAAAAGAACTGAAACTAGAAGAGGTTAGAATTTAGAAAAATCATAGCAGAAAGTAAACAAATTGGTTGTTTTAAGTTAATACATACTGAAAATAAAAATTTATGATAAGGTGACCATAATGGCAACTAGTGTTTTTCGAATATTCAGCCGGTTTAAAGTTAAATACAACCTTTCAAATAGTACATCTATCTTTCGAAATAATGTAATTACTACAAGTAGAAGAAATATCCATACAACTTCAGGTAAGCTGTAATACATAATGTATCGTATCAAAAACCTAAATTTGTGAACTAAAAGCTTTTGCATTTTGGTACATTTTAAAATCAGAGATAGCTTTTTCTGAACCGAGCTCTAAACTCAGTTTAGAAGGTAAGATTTTCATGAATCTGCATTGAAAATATTGAAATGCGGCTACCAACCACTTCTACTATCTAAAAGAAACGAAAATATGAAAGGATGATGGACTATGGACATCTCAGTTTAGTTTACTTTGGTTTCTTTTCTGTGTGTCTGAATGAGTAGTGGTTGTTCGCAGTTAAGTTGGTTGTTAATTTAAAAGTATAGGTACAGTGTTGTTCAAAACTGCAGAGGTATGGAAACAATTTAGTTTCTAAGGTATATTTGCAAATTGAAGCTAAAAAATTCAAATGTTTGAAACTACCGCGAAAACGGCTATTGGGTTGCGACGTCATAACGTCATTGCATACTAAATGGCGGTGTTGTCAAATGCTCTATAAAGTTCCCAAGGCCCTAGTAGGCCCCAAAATCTAGCCAATCAGCGTAAAAAATCTTAGGTCACGCACTCGAAAAAGTCTATAGACTTCATGGACGGACTATATTAGTACAATTTTGTACAGTTACGTAAATTGTAAATACAAAAATAAATGGAGAGTGATTACTGATTTGGAAGACGCGTTACGTTACACGAGAATAACGAGAGAGAAGAAAGATATAATGTGGAGAGACGGAGGAAGACGGCCATTAATTGACACAAACCGAGGATTATAAGCAAAGAGGATTGCCTATTATTGTCAAGCGACGATACCCTTGTGGCGTCCGAAGTGGGGAAATGGTTCAGGAAGCATTGTACAAGCACGAGAAAGAGCCGCGTAAAGTCCGACGATTTTAATCTGATACTCGAAAGAAATGTGAGCTGGTGGCATCCTACATTAGAACGCCAATGGTCACCTGACGTCACACCTGTTTTTGCCATATACTTCACCCTCTCGCTTCTCATACAGAAAGTATCAGATTAGAAACGACGCACAATATTCACTGAATACTAGGCAATAAAAGAAAATAGAGAGTGAGAAGCGCATATGCTCAGTACAACTCTGATACCACAAGAGTGGAGCAACATAGAGCGACATTATACTCAATATGATGCGATAGAAGTTTCATTTCTAACACGTGTACGGTGCTGCATGATTTTTTTTTAACGCGTAAACAATAAAGCTTATTTTGGTTTGATTTGTATTTATCCCCTCTGCTCATGCTCATAAAACTATCCTCTCAGTATTATTCTTGACTCTGACTCGAAGAACCAAATTATGCGCGAAATTAAAACTGGAAAATCCACAGGTTGCTGATAGAATGGTAATCGATGCAGATTTTAAATTGAAATTGAAAGATATTGAAACTGAAAAGGAGATTTTTTCACCTTTACTTCCAAACTTCACTCAGTTGGCCAGCTCTTTCAAGAAGTTCAAGTCCAATGCGAAGGAGTGCAAACGAAACCGTCTTGATTTAACCGTTCGCGGCAAACTAAAAACCGCGGGTCTATTTTCTCGAACCACACAAAACGGGCGGAGTGTTTTTAGCGACTGACTTTACTCGTCGGCACAGCAGTGTAAGGACTTTGCTGGTATCATTTTTTAGTGTTTAACGCGCGCATTTTTAAAAGCCAAATTTAGGAAAGCCGTATTAATTCCTAGGCATATACCACGCGTATCAAAAAAAACGTATCAATTTCTATTCTCAAATAGAAACATGACATCCTAAATACCCAATTTAACTTACAACTATATAAAGGGCGCATAGACGAAACTGAACACTCTTCCAACAAAAATAAACAATATTTCTTCTTATTGCAGTTCAAAAACATGGAGAATATGAATGGCAAGATCCCAAATCTGAAGACGAAGTGTAAGCTAGGTATCCAATGGTTCAAACTCTCAAATAATTGTCTTATAATTTTAGGGTAAATGTAACGTTTATTACTAAAGATGGTAGTCGAGTGGCAGTTAGGGGAAAAGTTGGAGATAATTTACTTTATTTAGCTCATAGATATGAAATACCCATGGAGGGAGCATGTGAGGCGTCATTGGGTAATATTTTCTAAAACTATGTGGAATAATTATGTGCATTATGCATTTCTTATTTTAGCTTGCACAACATGTCATGTATATGTTCACGACAATTTCTATGAAGCATTGCCAGCACCGGAAGAAAAGGAAGACGATCTGTTAGATATGGCTCCATTTCTAAAAGAAAATTCTCGATTAGGTTGTCAAATTATTTTGAGTAAAGATTTAGAAGGTTTAGAAGTTGAGTTACCGAAAGCTACAAGAAACTTTTATGTTGACGGTCACACGCCTAAACCTCATTAAAATGTTCCTTATTGGTATTTTGCTAGAAATACTTGTACAGAGCCATATATGTCCAAAAACCTGAAGATGGAAAGCTATATAGATAATAAACAACAAAGGAAAATAATAAAACTTCTAGTCATTGATTCAAATCACTTATTTTTCCAAAATATAATAATAAGTTGTTACAAATATATTGCCACATCTATTTTGACTAATATTAAAACTAACATAAATAAATCTACCTAAAAGAAACACAAAAGGCAGAAGATGAAAAATGAAGACATACAAATTCACTGTTAAAAAATTAAATAAAAATAAATCATAAATATATACAGAAAGATAATAAAAAATAATGAATGAAACAAAACAAGATGAAGAATATAGTCATTTGTCTACTAATAAATTGTGTGCAATTCTTTTACATTCAATTTGCTTTTAGGTCTTTCTTTATTTTTTTCAATTTTCAAGGCTAAAAAGGCACATTTATTGTTATATCATAAGGCAACACTCTAATTAGGCAATATATTTTAGGCATTTTTACTCTATAAAAAAAACTAATACCTACCATAAGAAGAAAGACCTTTAAAACTGAAAGAAAAAAAAAATGTTATTACAATAATTTTTTCAAATATTTCAACAGGTACCTAACAATAGTACTCGCTACAGTATAATTTGATCTAAATACGAATATTTGTTCATGTTTGTTTAAATTAAATTCATACACTAAACTAAATGACTACACAAAAATAAATTCAGTAGTATGTTTCTTTTCGATACCAGCCTTGAGGATTTTTCCTGATTCTCCATTTTCTGAATTCGTCGAATATAAAAATGAAAAGGGCAAACGGAATAGAATAACACCACCTAGAAACGATTGAGATATGCACTTTGTGTTTGTTTTTTTGGCTACAACTTACCATCTGAATAGTATAGGATAGAATTTAAGGTAGTACATGTTTGGTAGGTAAGTAAGCATGCATGCGACCACAGTTTCTACCACTAAACTTACATTGAGGACCATGTTTCCCATTCCTAGTATAAAAATAGCAACTTATAAATTGAGAATAATAAACACTTGTATGTAAAATTTTGAAATATTTCTAAAAGATTTCAGTTTCAGTAGTCTCAGTGTCAAATATCCATAAAATCTAATTAAACTACTGGACAAAACCAACTCAACAGGCCACTTTTCCAATAAATATAATACTCATACTGACTTATGTTCAGTTAATTTCATTGGTAGCTTGATTTTTAAAACTTTGGTGACATATTTTTTTGAAAAACTTCATATTTTTTATTTTCTCAGCAACATATTTACCTTGTTTAAATATCGAATTAATTCTAGTTTTGCAGACAATCAAATCTAGCCATTGAGTGACGACGACAGAAATCATAAAAGCAGTGTAGCAAGTATATTCTAATTCCTTCCTATGTTCATAAGTCCATTCTTGTCCGTACGAATCATGCAGGTCATTGATGTGGGGAGAATCCCATTTTTCGCGAAGACCTAAGCAAAAATTGTATACAAAATGCTTCAAAGATGCCAGATTGTTACTCACCAAACAGCTTCATTGGCATAAATCCATGTTCAGCCATGATGGCGAAATAAACGAAGAATCCTCCCATAGCTTCTACTAGACCAATATGTCCGTAAGCCAAAAAGTACAGTTTTCTTGTTACTAATTTGTCTTTGCGAGGATTACGTGGAGGACGCAACATAATGTCGCTTTCAGCTTTTTCATAAGCCAAACTAATAGCTGGCAACATATCGGTTAGCAAATCGATACAGAGAATAGCCATGACACCTTAAGAAAATATATCAGTTAACAGATTATTGCTAAAAAATCCTTACCTAAAGGAAGCGGAATGTTGAAAAGCACAAAAGCCAAAAACGGCAATATTTCTGGCACGTTCGAGGCCAAAGTGTAAGCAATGGATTTTTTCAAGTTGTCAAATATTCTGCGGCCCTCTTCAACTCCTGTTATTATCGAGGCGAAATTGTCGTCCAACAAGATCATGTCGGCTGATTGCTGAGACACTTCGGAACCTGATATACCCATGGCGATACCGATGTCAGCTTTTTTTAATGCTGGAGCATCATTCACACCATCTCCAGTAACAGCAACTGAAGGTAATTAATTATTGAGCTGATTAGCGATCAATGAGAGGTTCTTACCAATTTCACCCAAGCGTTGACAACCTTCAACAATATGCAGTTTTTGAGTCGGCGAAGTTCTAGCAAAAACGATCTCTTTAAAGTTATAAAGGATTCTATCTAATTCGTCATTATTCATGTCTCTTAAAGCTGAACCGTGGATGACTATACCTTTATCTCTTAGTTCAGGAGGTAGAGTTTCAACGATATTTATGTTGTAGGCGTCGATTACTTCATCGCAAGATATTATTCCTACTTCACGAGCAATTGCTTTTGCTGTAATCTAAAAATGAGGAATTTTCATAATGGATTAGGGTAGTTCCAGATTAAGGAGATGTGCCTGAAGTCAGCATCACTAATAAGAAGTATAGGTTTCGAATCTACTGTCGCAGAGCGTTACCTACTTGCCTGTTATTAGTCACCTTTTGCTACAGGTCAATAACAGGTAATATTTGCTATTCACAATTTATAAATTTAACTCAGGTTTTATTCAAGTTTAAAAGTGAAAATGAATGAGGAATCCGCATTTCCACCATTATCGCAACTATCACGAAGCAAGAGTAAAACTTCGCAATGTCTAAAAGGGTTTACTCCAGGTCATACAGCTATCGGCACCCCCAATACAACCCCACGACGATATGGCCCCACGTTGGGCGCCCTAACAAATTGTGTCTATTTTACTGGATGGGAAAATATTTGATACAAAATTTCATATAGTAGACTCATTGTCAGAAGATGCTATTTTAAGACGGGATTGGTTAAAAATGCATAATGCAATTTTAGATTTTGTTCAAGGTTATATTCACTTGGGGAAAATAATTCAGGTTCACAATATATTGGAATATTTATCCTGAAAAAAGAACACAAAAACCAAATCAACAAAATGTTACTTTCGATTTACTTAACTCATTCAACAGACAAGACAATAAGCATGTACAAAAACATATTAAATAGTTTTCATGAAGAAGGTTTGCGACAACCAACTACAAAATTAGTAGATCATAGAATAACACATCTAGACAAAACACCATTTAAGATCAGGCGCGTTATCAATATTCCCCAAAAAAAGAAAAATTATTTAAGATGAGGTAAGAAAAATGTTAGCTGCAGGTGTAATCAAAAGAAGTCGTTCTAGTTTTTGTTCACCAGTTGTGATTGTGGAAAAAAAAGATGGTTCACCTCGGTTTTGTGTTGATTATCGTCAACTGAATAAACAAACTCAGCCAATGGTATCGCAGTTACCGCATATAAGAGATACAATAAAAGATCTTAGTAATGCACAGGTATTTTCATCATTGGATTTAAAAAGTGGATACTGGCAAGTGTCAATGGAACCGGAAAGTACTAAATTTACAGCTTTTGGAACTCCAGATGGTGCCATGTATGAATTTTTAGTCATGCCATTTGGTTTAAGGAACGCTCCATCTACATTTCAAAAACTCATGACTGAAGTTTTGGAAGGTTACATTGACAGATTTGTGAAAGGATGATATAATTATATATCTATTCAAATAATCACGAAGATCATATGTTTTCACCTTGGGTTAGTTTTGGAGAGACTTTAGAATACACCAACTTCGATGCTCTTTAAAAAAATGCAATTTTGGAGTAAATGAGTTAAATTATCTGGGTTACAAAATCTCAAGTGCAAACAATTCTCCACAAGAACCTTACCTGCCTCGTATAAAAAATTTAAAAAAACAAATACCATGAAAGAATTGCAGTCATTCCTTGGTATGGCTAACTGGCTTAGAGAATACATTCCAAATTTTGCAACAATTAGTTAGTTTAGATTATCAATCTTTATCAATTACTGCACCACTTGTCTAAAAGGGTTTACACCAGGTCATACAGCGATCATGAATCCCAATACAACCCCACGACGATATGGCCCCACGTTGGGCGCCCTAATAAAACACCTATTCAGTGATTGAGGTATCCAAAAGCACATTGCCCAACCATTCACCTTCTCAATACTTGTTAAGATAATATATGAGGACTTTATTTTTTAAATATGACTATACCACTACTTCGACAATTTTTGAATTGACTTAACACTACATTCATTAATAAAGAGGTCCTGATCCTGTTCTCCTTCTGATTTTTCTTTTATGTTTTTTTGCAGTGAGCTTTGAAACTTTTCTACTCGCTCACACTTTTAATTGGTTGAAGTCAATCTTCACCTTTTTATCAAACAAGTTTTCAAGAATATAATGACAAATTAATGTGGAATAGAAAACCTAAACAGAATTATTAGAAAAACTTATCGAAAAAAAAAGACAACTTGGATTCTGGGGTCATTTACAAAAAATAAGCCCTAGACAGTAGACACGCTTGGAAAGCAGAAATAGAAAAGATATGATGACCAAGAAACAAGTGGGACAATTTAATAGAAAAACCTGGAGGAAATGAAAGATAATTTCTATAGGCACAACAAGAAGTAAATCAAATTTATAAAAGAATGAAAAATAGTATTTGGACATGATAATATAAACTTACTGGATGATCACCTGTCACCATCACAACTCGGATACCAGCACTTCTGCATCTACGAACAGCATCTGGTACCTAAAAATTCAAAAAATAACAAAACCAAGAGATAAAATAAGAGTTTCTACTTGTGGTCTTGGAGGATCAATAAGACTCATAAACCCAACGAATCTGAGGTCTTTCCTTGGAAAATTGGCAGGTTCTGCACAAAATTTGAAATCCTTAGTAAAGGAACGGTCCAAGACTAAATCAGCAAAACCGAGCACACGTTCTCCTTTTTCGGCCATTTCCGTCATTGCTTTGTCGCAGATTTCTCTCCATTCGTCAGTCATTTCTTTTGTTCCATTTTCAGTGACAATAGTGGAACATCTGTTGAATTGAAAATGTTGAATTAACATAAAATGTGATGATAGTAATTAAAATTACCTTGCCAAGATACGTTCAGGAGCCCCTTTCATTGCCAAAAGACATGATCCATCATTTTCCATAGCATGAATACTTATCTAGTATATAATTAATTTTTAGTAAATCCGTAATATTTTATCATTATAACTTACTTGATATTTGGTAGTTGAACTAAAAGGTATTTCCAATAGTTTAGGATTTTTGTGTCTAAAATTATGGGTATTACCATGCACTTGGCTAACTTCGACGAATTTGAGGATGGCTTCTTCTGAAGCATCTCCTCTTACTTTTCTAGCTTGGATTGGTAAATTTTCTTCGCCTTGTAAAAATTCGGCTCTATTGCAAAGAGTAGCGCATCTCATCAATGTCTTAAACCCTAAATATTTAAAAATGTATTAATGGTTTCACTAGTTTTTACCTTTACCGTCAATTTTATTATAATCTTCAGCATCGTTTTGCTCCGGAGTACTATCAGCACAAGTGATTTTGTTGTTACACCAAAAATGGCAAACCGTCATTTTATTTTGTGTTAAAGTTCCAGTTTTATCAGAGCAAATGATAGAGGTGGATCCCAAAGTTTCTACAGCTTCCAGATTTTTAACCAAGCAATTTTTAGCCGCCATCCTTTTAGCCGTTACCGACAAGCATACAGTTACAGTGGCAAGAAGACCTGATAATATTTTTTTGATGAAACCATAATTTTAATCGGGTTATACCAATACCTTCAGGTACGTTAGCTACAATGATACCGATCAAAAACAAAGAGGCTTCAATCCAGGAGTAGTTCATGGCAAGGGCCGCGCTACCAAAAACTACACCCAGAAAACAGGCCCATACTGAAATTATTTGCATGAAATGCTCCAGTTCTCTGGCAATTGGTGTTTTGTTGGGCTGTAGACGAGCTGTTAGACCAGCAATGCGACCCATGACTGTATTATCTCCTGTCTCGACCACTAAACCTGTATGAGTCAGATTTTGTATTAATTTGAATTTAAAATTGAAATAAGACTAGGGCCATTACCTTTAGCAGTACCTTCAACAGCGTTAGTGGAGAAAAACGCAAAATTTTTCGTTTCCAACAAATTGTCACTGGTGCAGTCAGTGCCTCTAGGTTGAGGTTCCGATTCTCCAGTGAGTGCCGAATTATCCACCTACAAGTACATAGTGTCCTAATTTTATATTGACATTGCCCCAAAATAGATCTGGGATATATTTTAACAGCTGAGTTTGGGCTGTTTGTTTTTAGCAAAACATAAATAATGCTTTCGATAAACGTTTCTTGATTTTATGGGCGACCGTTAAAACTAGAATGCAAATAATTTTTTTTTTGTAGAAAATCGTTAATCAAATTAAGACTTTGCCAAATTCTCGAGAAAATTGTCTCTGGCATATTCCCATTAAAAATCCTTTATTTATTTCTTTCCTGACCATTCTAAATTTTTATGGACGGTTTTAATGGCACGTCATAAAAACGTGCTCTTATTAACGGAAATAAACAGAGGCGTGAATAATGGGGAAATTAAAGGCAAATGTAAAACCGATTTTATTCGTCAAAACAACCATTAAAAATGTGTGCGGGTCATTAATTTTGAAAACATCGGATGATTTATATTAACTTACTTTGAATCCTTGAGAATGTATGATTCTTATGTCAGCTGGTATCCGATCTCCAAATTTCATGTCAACCAAATCGCCTACCACTAGTTCTTTGGACACAATTGTCATAGTTTCTCCGCCACGAATTACTGTTGCTTTTGGCGGTACCATATTGGCAAACGATTCCATAATCTTAATAAAATTTCACTTACTTAGGACTTTTATATTGTCATATAAATTGATTTTACCTTTTGACTCTTGTGCTCTTGGAAAAACATAAAACATCCTGTAACTACAACTACGACTACCAATACGATTCCTAAAATTAAATTGTCTGTATCTGTCTCGTCCTGAGACAATTTCCTTATTAAGCATGCTGCGAAGCATAATGCGGCACCTATCCATAATAGCAATGAAAAACCTAAAACGAAATATAAGTTTATGGAAAGTTTGTTAAATTTTTGATTATTTCAATGAGAGTTTTCATAGTCCGGAAAATGTTTGCTTTTGTCAATTTAAACTAATCTATGAGCTCTGGATGTGTATTTAAATGAACAAATTGAAATGTAGGTGAGCGTTTTGCTGCTCTTCAAAAGCCATGTGGTTCTAGTCAAAACATTTGGTTCAGTGCCAAACTTTGATTCACTCAAAAATACTACAAATCATGTATTTTTTTAATACTCGAGTTTTCGACCAAATGTAGCGGAGAAGTTCTCTTCGTATTTTCAATTATTCGACTTCAAATATTCTTAATTAAACCACTTTTTAAATCCTGGGCTGCGACTCTGTATCGGATAGAGATCGTTATGCCTATCGCTGTGGCACTTGCTGTCTTCTTCTCTCATTTCGAAATCAATAGAGAGGGGACGTCAATAGAGATACAGAAAATATCTACATTCCTTACAGCCCTGGGCTGCTTTTCCCTCTCTAGTTGGTACCTCATTGACATAGAGGGTGCCTTTGACAACACCTCACATCAATCAATCGCCAGAGCATTACAAGAATGGGATGTTGAAGTTCCAATTGTAAAATGGATAGAGTCGATGCTGAAACACCGTCACGTTACGGCTGAAATAAACGGAGCATCAGCTACCGCTACCACGGTCAGAGGGTGTCCTCAAGGGGGTGTTCTTTCTCCGCTACTATGGACACTGGTCTTACCAGACTGAGTAGTGCTGTATACCAGGTCATAGGTTACGCAGATGACCTAGCCATTATAATCAAGGGCAAACATGAAGGCGTAGTGACAAGCCGAATGCAAAGTGCCCTAAACATCGTTAAGAATTGGAGCGAAGGCGAAGGATTATCCCTAAACGCAAACAAAACAATCCTTGTCCCGTTCACAAGAAGAAGGAGGCTAAATCTGAAAGCCCCGACGCTTAACGGTACACAACTAACATTTTCCAACGAAGTGAATTACTTAGGGGTTACTCTGGACCGAACCCTCACTCGGAACAAACAGTCAGAGAAAACATGCTCTCCAGCTACATCAGCCATTGGTCATGCCGAAAACTTGTTGGCAAAACATGGGGGCTGAAGCCAAAGATGATATTCTGGATTTACCAAACCATAATAAAACCCATTGTCACATACGCCTCATTGGTGTGGTGGCTCAAAACCCAACAAGTCACTGCTCAGATCAAGCTCAGGAAGGTGCAAAGGCTGATATGTCTAGGAATAACGGGAGCAATGTCAACTTGCCCCACCGCAGCCTTAGAGACGCTACTCAACATGCCCCCACTTTATCTATGTGTGAAAAAGGAGGCAATAACCAGCGCTCACAGGCTATTTCAAATAGACAAGTTCAAGCCTGGTGATCTGAGGGGACATCTGCGAATCCTTGAGTTAATAAAACTGGAGAATGCCAGCAAACCAAGCGACCACATGATGGTCAGATTGGACTTAGAGATCCCATTCGCAGTGGTAATAAACAACCGCCAATCATGGGAGAATAAAAAATTGCCACAAGCAGACAATGTATCTCTGTGGTACACAGATGGATCGAAGCTAATGGAAGGAGCTGGACTGGGCATCTCCGGCTCTAACTTCAAGCTCTCCAAGGCATTTGGTAAACATCTTACAATATTTCAAGCCGAACTGCTTGCCATAGATATATGTGCACAAGAGTGTCTTAGCCAAAGCCTCAAAAGAAAACACATCTTCATACTATCGGACAGCCAAGCGGCCTTAAAAGCCTTAAGGACCTTCAAATGCACGACAAAACTAGTCTGGGAGTGTAAACAGACCCTAAAAACACTAGCGACACACAACCAGGGGCCGTATTCTTGATTTCTGGGAGGAGAACTTGCTCGGGAAGTGGACGTGGTTTACCTCAAAAAGGTACATGTCATATTCTTGAAAATGGGACTGTGAAGTGAAAGTTCCCGGGAATTCTGAAGTTCCCATCCTCTTACCCAAGAGAAAACGAATTCCCGTCAGGGTTTCTAACCTCAAGACTTGACGTTGTTTTCAAGCTTGACGTTTTCGTTTTCTCCTTTCAAATTCAAGGTTTTTTCGTTTTTGTATGCGTTGTGTCTTTTCATTAAAATGAATGTGGATGTGGATTATTTTATTGAGATTATCTTGTCTAACATACCTAACATAATCCAAGAAGACATGAAAAATGCTTCAGAAGCAAAGGAAATAGAATGGGATGTTCTGCCTTTTCCATTGGCCATAAATTCGTGAATTTTTTTAGAGTAAGCAAAAATGTATGCCACGAAATAGTGGATATGGTGGATATGGTTACTCCCGTATGTTACCGCTCCAAAGCGGCTTTAACCAAAACTACAAAAGTAGGTATGCATAGAACACATTATTCCAGAAGTTGATGAGCCACATGAAGTTCAGGAGCAGGAATACGGAATTTATTAATTTATGCTGCAGAAAATTATGCGCAATTTTCCCTCATGTATAAAAAATCTCATGAGGAATGCAGTTTTCGAACACTTACAGCGATGATGTTCATAGGGTAGTTAAAAATAAATATATTATCAAACCCAAATGCCTTTCAGCTTTCAAAGTTTTGAAAAATAGACAATAATAAATATCAAACGTGGGGTTAGATATTGGGTTAGATAACTTCCTCTTCCTTTTTTCGCTTGAAACACGTTTTGGTTAGTTTGATTGACACTCTGATAGGCGGCAACATTGCGAGCGCTTGTGGGTATTCAAGAATACGACCTCTTAGCTCCCGGGAGCGTAAGTGAACTAGCTTTCCTGGGAACGTTCCCAGGAACACTCCCTTCCCGGGCAGTCAAGAATACGGGGCCTGGGGGCGGATTACGAACTCTCGATTCGAACCGAAACCGCCATGGATTTCGAACGCATTCTGATGCATTTGCATGGAGTGCGTTCAAAATCCATGGCGGATTCGGTTCGAATCGAGAGTTCGTAATCCGCCCCCAGGTAACGCTGATGTGGCTGCCTGGTCATCGAGGTATAGAAGGAAATGAAGAAGCAGATGGCCTCGCAAAGGAAGGGGCCTCAACACCATACCATGGACCAGAGCCCTACTGTGGCTTAATGAAAAGCTACATCATGGAAGAACTTAATAAATGGAAGAAAGACCAACTGTCATCATACTGGAGGCACACACCGGGACTTAGTTTATTACCCTTTCAGCAAAAAGAGCTGAACAGCTCCTAAGCATGAGCAGACCAGACATCAGACTGGTGGTGGGACTGCTCACAGGACACTGCCCAGTAAAATACCATTCAAGGTTAATGGGCAGAGCGGAAGACGATCTCTGCAGATTCTGCTCAGACGCAATAGAGACCGCAGAGCACCTGCTCTGCGAATGTCCAGCCCAATTCTGCAAGAGGCTGAAATTCCTCGAGGGGCAACACTGTCACCAGAAGAAGTGGGCCAACTAACACCCAGGAAAATAGTTTCCTTCGGCAGAAGTCTACGCTTCCTGAAGACAATTTGAGATGTAGAGTCATGTACAAAATATCTGCAAAGGTAGCAATGCTGAGCGGCTGAAAAGCTGAAACGACTCCCCCGCAATCTACAATCTACTTCATTCACAATTCGAAAACAATTTGTTTTTCTATGATTCTAAATGAGCTTTGGATAACTCAATATATTTTCTTTATAATCTAAATTACCCAAGAGCTCAAAACCTTCTGATCATAGCTCAATTGAGTCATGTTCATGTGAATATCCACGGTAACAATAAAATAAAATGATCACTTATAGGTGGTGTCTCAAAACACCGAACATTTCATAATTTTTCTTTGGTAAATTGGTCTATATCCAGAAATGGATGACATTCTGAAGAAGTTCTTTCCGATAGTTGAATAAGATACTGGGGATCAGAGAGAATGATTACCTTTTTAGAGATAAAAAAAAGTTGTTTCTGTGTTTTACGACCAGATTGAGTCACAGCAACGTGTATTGGAGAAACTTGGGGTAACTTTCAGATACATACAAGATTTGAACAGAGCTTAGCAAAGAAGATTTTTTACACTAATGGCTAAAGTCACACGAGAAATTTGAAGGAAGCTTCTTACCAAAGAACAGAAAGTAGAGAAGATAAGAAAACGCCATTCTCTGATGTTAATCTCCTAAACAGAACTGGAGTGAAAGCTGATAAAATCTCTTCCTCTACCGTTTTTGTTTCACTACACTCATCCAAAAGACATGCGAAGTCACAACAAGCAAAATTAATTTTTGATTCATACAGATCTTTTCATCGTTGGTGGAAGAAGCTGCTTGTTAAGCTGTGTTTATTCATCGACTGAACTACTTATTCATGATAGGTATCTACCACATGAAAAGTACTACTGAATACTGAAGACTTCATGTTCCTTTAGACTTCTGAGCCAACCTTTACAAATGCTCTTGACAGCGAAAGAATCTATGACTAGGGTGGTTTCATAGCTTGATATCGATTTTACTAGGCTCGTCTTTAATAGGTAAAATCATAGATGGTAAAATACCTAATAATTACTGGACTTCCAGAGAATTCTTTCTCAAAGCTCATTTCTTCAATGCTTCTTTGTGATAGGAAGACGCTAGATTATAGAGAGTAAATGTCCTCGTAACTCGATGACGTGGCAAAATAGTCTTAACATTAATTATCCTTACCTTGAGTTAGTGTCCTAATGAATTTAATATATTCAGGAGTTTTATGCGAAGGAGTTAGTACGTTGGGTCCAGTTTTAACTAAAACTGCCGCTGCTTGCTCTACCGTTAAACCTTTTTCTCTGTCTGTGTTAAGTCTTCTGCATATTTCACCTATAATAACAAAAAAAATATTCGAATCAATAATTTTAATGTGAAATTTCTTAGTAGGTATATAAAAATTTCAAAGCTCTCCTGCAAAATGGTATGATAAATAAAACTTACTCATATGAAAATAGAATGATATGTTTTCAGTGGCACGTATAGTTAATTGGATACCCGAATTAAAATTAACCTTTAAGGGGGCCTCCTACATTTTCGGATAGATGGGTATTAAAAATAGCACTTCTCTCTCTATGAATATCAATTTTTGGTTTATGGCTATTTTAAATAAAACGAGGCATGTGGTGTGCGTATACGAAATTTTCATTACATACTTCTAAATCAAAATCGTTTTAAGCTGATGTATATTTTTTTTAACTTGGTGGGTACTTATAATCTAGCATAGTTGAACTTTGTATTATTTTGGCTATGCAATTTTGTATAGCCTTCATAGTGGTGTTTGGAGAAAATCAGCATTCAGAACAATTATTTTTCATAATTTTGCATGTCTATTTCAAGAATCAAATGTCCGTTTTACTAGAGAGCATTTATTTTCCCATTTTCTCTACTACAACTTAAATTATATTAAATTGGGATCATATAAACTGAAGTACCTCACAAAAGTTTATGACGTTACATGAAATAGAAAATTTGACCGTCACCACAGAAACGATTTTTGTGACGCAAATATGCTGACGCTATCCTATTCGTCATACTTTTTTTGAGCAACTATTAATGAATATTACACATTTTTCTTTGCAGCTGAGTGAGTGATTTTCTGTTAAAAAATTAAAAGTAAAATAAATACATTAATTTCTCAATCGTTTGTAGGTATGAGCAAGAAATAATAAATTTCAAGAAGTTTTCTGGACGAGTTGATATTTGTTAATGTTCATTGAAAGGTTTGTTTATTCAAGTTGAAAAAGAGGCTTTGACTTGCTGAAATTTCAATTATTGACAGTAACAATAATTGATTATTTGATTTCTATAGGTACTTCTATATCAAAAATCCATTTATTTTTGGGCGTTTTATAACAGTGACGTCAGTATTTTATTTCTGAAATCTTGTAGAGACGTCACCCTCTTTACGTCTGTCTAGACTAATAAATAGCTTTTAAAAAGTTCTTGCCAGAAAAAAAAAAAGTTTTAAAGCTAACGTAAAATTCATGCATTAATTTGATTATCCATAAAAATTTAAACTAGTAAGTCTTCGATGGTTTTGCCAATAAACTAAAACTAAAATACAAAATGAGCCAGTTGTTTTGTCATTTTATGAATGGAATAAATTTTATATGCCTGGCTACTACCTACTCTGATTGTCGTAATTCCGTAGGCTAAGTGTTTTGACGCCAAAAGTGCTTACTATACAGTATTTTTACACAAAACTATTAATAATTTTTGGCAAAACAATATGTTAGCAACCAAATTGACAGTTTTTTATTAACTTATAATATTCGCAGGTGTGAAACACTAGCAAAAGAGTAAAATTTTATGTTGAATCCAGAATATATTTGTCATAGGAATGCAAACAAAATTAACCCGATTTTACCCAAACGTCTTACATTTGGTCCTGAAGGAATAGCTAAAGTGAGACTACTCTTTCGAAATAAACTTATTTGTTTTCAAGACAATAACACAAAAATCACGACAAAACTAGGACTATTAGACCACTTCGTTCAATGCAAATCACATCGACTCATGCTCCAGTAATTATACGATTATTAACTAATTCGCGTTCAATGCTTTTTGACACCCTATAACTTCTAATTTATCACTGACTTTTTATCTTAGTAGCCAACTCTGTTGTATAGCGCGTCGTTGCTTTTAGAATTTTCTAGATAATTTCCATTTGCGAATTTTCTGGTCATCAGGCATTATTGTGCATAACTTCCTCAACTTGAGAGATTTATGTAACTGTATGTTTCTATAGAGATGTTTCATGGTGAGATAATATCTTCCAGAAAGTGGTTGATTATTACAAATCATTTCATCATTGATTTCGATAAAGTGTACGCCACTGGTGTCTCCCTGTTTCTGACAACCCCCTTATCCTTCCCTGTTAGTATAAATCTAATCCCATGTACAGTTTTTGAAATAAGTGCCATCTGATCGAGCATCTGATTATATAATTTTGTATATTTTCGTATAAATCTGCATTCGTTGGTCGATCGAGTGTATGCCACTGGTGTCACCCTGTTTTATCTACAATATACAGGGTCGACAATAAAACAGTGTAAAGTTTAACAAATTTCAGGACGTCGCCATTGCTTTTCAAACATACTTCTGCTATTTTTCTGGGTATGAGAAGAATCAGTAGTTCATTGGTAAAAAATAACTTGAAGGATTTTTGAATAAGTCTCGTAGTTTTGCAGAAATTTCAGTTTAACTGAAAAACGACTTTCATCATCCTGATTCTTTTCTTTGTCTCAGTTACTCAAAACAATTTTCTTCATTATTGTTGGTTCAACGTTTTCGTCTTTTTTTGTTTTAAGAAGATTTTATACAGGGTGAAAAAAAAATTAAGTTTTTAATACTAATTATTGGGTTAGTTTGGGTTACATACATACATACATACATACATACATTGAAAGCAAAATATGATTATATTATGTTTCCTAGGCGGAAAAGCTATTTTGTTCTCGAGACGCCGAGATATTTGGTGAATTATTAGCACGTACCTACCATGTCATAAGGGGACTAATTATACAGGGGTGGTAAAAAGTAACGGAACGGTTGAATCTCTTCAAACCCACTTATGCTGCTTTTCCAGATTTCGTTATCTGGAGGTTTCTATGGGCAAACGAAATTGGACAACAATGTAGGGCAAAGCTGGTAGACCTGACAGCAGCGCCGATATCTTTGAATCATTTGATTTTGTATGTCCGGAAACCTCCAGATAACGAAATTTGAGAATGCAGGGCTGGGACTCTGTAACGGATAGAGATCGTTATCCCTATCGCTATGGCACTTGCTGTCTTCTTTTATCTTTTCGAAATCAATAGGGGACGTGGGACGTCAATAGAGATAAAGACAATGTCTCTATTCATTACAGAGTCCCATTCCAGGTTTTTTAAGCGGGTTTGAAAGAGATTCAACCGTTCCGGTACTTTTTACCAACCATGTATAAAGTGTTCCCTTTGTGACATGGTACGTGCTAATAATTCACCAAATATCTCGGCGTCTCGAGAACAGAATGGTGAATGGTTATACATTGGGCAATCTTTCGCGAGGATAAGCATAATCTGATTATGCTTATTTATGTGATGTGTCAATTGAATTGTGTCATACTCTTCTCTCTCCCTCTCCATCAAATTCTGGGCCTACGAGTGACGTCACTATTAGCAGCTTATAGTGATGACGTCACCCGCAGACCTCTATGGAATGCTTGCGTTTCAGGCTGTGCTAGTGAGTTAATTTTTTCGTCGATTGTGAATGTAGAAAAGGTTATTTTCGGTCAGTTCTCACAGAAAAAATTAAGTGTTCTTGATCCTCGAGTATCCCAGAATTTGATGGTAGAGGAATTAGGGGAGCATGACACAATTGACACATCACATAATCCAACATAGCTTAATCGATTATGCTTGATTATCCTCGCGAAAAATTGCCTAATAAAGCAGGGAAAGGTGTGTCATATCAAAACCTATAAATCGCAGTATACATGTTACGTGTTGGACGGGTACTGTCTCTAGTTACTCAGACGGGCAATTATCTTCACGGACCATCCAATATTTAGTATTAAAAACTTACTTTTTATTCACCCTGTATGAAATCTTCTTAAAACAAAAAAAGACGAAAACGTTGAACCAACAATAATGAAGAACATTGTTTCGAATAACTGAGACAAAGAATCAGGGTGATGAAAGTCACTTTTCAGTCGGACTGAAATTTCTGCAAAACTACGGGATTTATTCAAAAACCCTTCAAGTGGTTTTTTACCATCGAACTACTGATTCTTCTTAATCCAGAAAAAAAGCAGGAGTATGTTTGAAAAGAAATGGTGACGTCCTGAAATTTGTTAAACTTTGCACTATTTTATTGTCCACCCTGTATGTTGTAGATAACGTTTCTGTTTATCAGCACGATACCATATACCTCGAACACCAAACAATGCGCCCCAATATGCTTCAAACCGCAATCAAATATCTCTTATACTTTCTGAGACATTTGACTTCAAAAATAGGCAAAAAATTTCTTTATGCGTATTGAAGTTCCAGTAGTTTATGTGGAAACTACTGGTATCTTCAGCTCCATTTACCCAAAGATACAAGCATTGTAGGCCAAACGTTAAGTAGGTACTGCATCCACAGTTTCCATCATAATCTTTTAAGCTAGCTTTGAAATATTATGTAGGGTGTTGGATTTCGTTCCAGTCAAACTTGTTTTGTTATACCTGAACACATTTGATAAACATGTTGTTGGTCTGCTATTAATATTTCCAAAAATATGTTTAGAGCAATTTTCTATGTTAGCCAAAAATGTTGTAAATCGTGAACATTTTCATAATTTCAATTAAGGTACCTGTCCCAAATAAGGCCATGTTAAGAAATTTTATTTTTTCTGAACACTATCCACCAAAGCCGACAAAATTCACGAGCTTATATGTGAAGTGTTTCGCTTCTATTACTTGAATATTAACCCCAATTTATTTATTTTTACATATAAGTGGTGGTTTTTGCGTAAAACAAAGACCCTTGCCATTGGCCTTATTTGTACCACTATGCTCCTAATAAGGCCATCAATAAAAAATGTTTAAAATAAATAGAATAATTTATGAAAATATTATTTTTTGACAAAAAGTTCTCAAAATAGAACTTCAACGTTTGCTGCATTCTAAAAAAACAATAATTTCAAGTTTTGGGATGGTGATACAAATAGGTCTACATACAACTAGGACAACTGAACCGCAGCTTTTCTTGCTTGGTTAGACTCCAGGCGCTCTAAAACACATCACTTAAGTTATAATATGATACATTCTTTTAAAAAAACACTGTGATGTGAGGCCAATTGAAAATTTTTCATGTGGCCTTATTAAGAACATGTTACATTGATGAAGAAAAGTCTGTAACTAGAAATCTAGAAAAGATATTATTCTGTACTTACTCTGTGGCTTTCTCAATACATAAATGTCCGTGTAAAAATTAAATTCGCTCCATTCCCTTTATGAACATGGTGTATAAACTAATTAAGTTCTAGCCTCAAAGTTATAACGTGACATATGAAATATGTGGTTGGCCATTTTTCGACATATAACGAGTTGCTACGAATCCTTGCAATAATTTTTGATTTGCATTATAGATATCTTTTTAAATAATATTGTAATTTTTGAAGATGGGATTCAATATTAAGCAATAAGGGGCACTGGCCTTATTAAGTACATGGCCTTATTTGGGTCAGGTACCTTATATATTTTGGTTTCAACATTTTGTCTGCCAGGTGTATAAAATCTAATTTTCACATTAACCTCCATCGACCTCCGAGCAATAGAAATTCGAAAAAAGTCCAAAATTAAATAAGACACGAATTATGTGGGAAGTTTGTGTAGACTGCTTGAAAACGTCCCTAAGATGTCCACAAACGACATTCAAGACGTCTTGCTTACATCTTTAAGGCGTACTAAAGACATTTTGAAGACGTCGTATGTTACGTCTCTAGGACTAAAGACGTCTTCAACGAGATGTTTTAAAGACCGCTTTGAATCTCTTTTCAATACATAAACAATTATTTACTTTTAGGTCTGGATTCCTAAAGAAATTAAATAAATTAACTCGTTGAAGGACAGTGAACATTTCTGTAAGATTACCAATTATTTATGCAGACGCTATGGACGGCGTTCTGTTTCTATTACAGTGTGGGGGGGGGGACTGGGAATGTAAATAAATTTTAAATGTGTGACACTACGGCACTGATATTCGAACGTATTATGACAGTGGCGATTGGATGTCGTGTCATTTTCATCCATCAATCTGAAGACGATGTATCAGCCTTGTGTCATATCATAACTTCAGGAAATGACGCTGATCTGCGTCTCTGTCCTTCAACGTGTTAATAAAAACAACGTCTTCCAGACGTATTTTTTTTTGGTCTTCAGACGTTCATAACATAATGCAGACCTGAAAGAGGCGTCTTTAAGATTTTGTGTGCCGTCTGTCACTTTTCACATGATGAGAAGCATTTGGAGAGGACAATATAATAATTGCCGATATGATTGTATAAGATATATAGCTTCTTATGGTTAACAATGTAGTTTTTTGTGATAGAAATATTAACTGTACGAAAAGACAGATTGATATGTTAGAGAATTGTTGCAAAAGTTAATAAATGTTCATTTATTTAAATTCCCTTTAATATAGGTAGTGTTTATTGGGAGGGATTTGCAAAGTCAATCTGATTTACAATTTTTTTATTAGAAAGTACCTACTAGTTATTATAAAATTTTGATACATATCTGATTTAAGTGAACTCACTTTACCTTTATCTCTAACGAATTGAAAAAGAAAAGGTGGGGTACTTTGCTAGTGTGTATAATTGAGTATTGCCGTTTCTCTGAAAAAATGAATTATAAATTGGGTTACTTTTTGACTTTAAGCAACCCTGTATGAAAACCTTTAGGTATGTAATAAACACTATAATAATAAGCTGTGCTATGTATGAAATATGAAACACTATAATAATAAGCTGTGCTATAATCCTGTATCCTGCATAAAAAAGGTGTTATAACATACTTGAAAAACTATCGACATATAACACTCCTTAATGTAATTTATAAGCTCTTCAAAAAAATTCTCACCACCAGGCTAACAATTAAATTCGATGTCGATGGTTATCAATCGAAAGAGCAGGGCGGCTTCAGGCAGGGTTTCAATACAAATGATCACCTATTAACCATGAAAATCCTAATAGAACAAACCAACGAATATCAACATCCGACTATGTATATTGCATTTATCGACTTCGAAAAAGCTTTTTTTGATAGTGTTGAACACTGGGCAGTAAAGAGCTCATTGATTAATAGCAGAATAGACTACAGATACACAGACCTAATAACCAACATATATAGCGAAGAAGCGAAGCAATAACGACTGTTAAAATTCATGAGGAAATAAAACCAATACCCATAAGAAGAGGTGTCAGACAGGGCGACACAATATCACCTAAACTTTTCAACCAGGCCCTGGAAGATGTTTCCAAAAAACTAGACTGGGAAGAAAAAGGTATAAAAATATGCGGACAACACTTGAGCAACTTAAGATACGCGGATAATATTGCCCTAATAACTGATAAGAAAGAAGAACTGACGGAAATGCTGGAAGACCTTGACACAGCAGCTAAAAACATCATAAGTCTCAATATGAACTACGCTAAAACTAAAACAATAACGAACACAGACGATGACATCACGTTCAGAATAGGACAGGAAAAAATAGAACAAGTCGACGAATATATATATCTAGGACAGATTATTAAACTCAACAAAGAAAACCAAACAGCAGAAATCAAGAAACGAGTTAGATTGGCTTGGGCAGCATTCGGCAAATCAAGCTACATCTTGAAAAATAGAAAATATCCACAATACCTCAAAACCAAAGTTTATAATCAATATATACTTCCTGTTCTCACCTATGGATCCCAAATATGGACACTTACCAGAGCGTCAGAAAAAAGTATCTTAGTTACTATAGAGTATCTTAGTTACTTTATAGTATCTAAGATATTGTATCTTAAATATTTTTTATTTTTTGGCAAAAGTATCTAGTATCTTAGTTACTTTTCAAAAGGATCTGTAACTTGTATCTTGAAAAGTATCTTGAATACCAAAAAGTATCTTAGGTACTTAGAAGTAGATAGATACTGAAAAGTGTAATCTAAGTTAACGAAAAGTATTAGTTACCACGAAAAAAGTTTCTTGAGACGTTTACCCAAACCCGAACTGGTTCAAACTTCAAGAAGCATCAAGCTTACGTTTTATGTACCTATTAGGCAATTCAATCCATCTGTCAGATAGGAAAATTCAATATGGCGTGGCGGCTAAGCAAGTTTGTTTTGATTGTGTTTTTATGCATATTTCAAATTATTTTGCTTAGAGTTTTGCTTGCAACTTTGGTTTGGATTATTTATTGAAATATTTGTTGACTAGGTACCTAAACTAATAAATCGGGCAGAATCTAGATATTTTTTTGTGTTTTTTGGCCCATATGTGGCCGCCACGCCATCTTGAAAGTCACGTGGTTTGAATTGCCTAATTATTCATTTGTAATCACCCAGCCGTTTTGTGAAGTTAGTGTACACTCATTTAACAACGATTTTGTACTTCAAAAGTTCACGTCGCAATTTATCCATTTTAAAAAATGTAACTATAATTTGTGATTGTAACTTTCTATGTACTGCGATTTTGAACCTTATTCTCGAATTTGGGATTTTAAAAAATAAAAATTCTTGTTTTTAAAATTGAATCTGAAACCTGTGGACCAAATAAACTGAACAGCAAAAGCTTTGGAAGTAATAATAAAGTATTTTAATAAGTATCTTATTAAGTATCTTAAAAAATAACTTAAGATACGTATTTAAGATCCTTTTATAAATGAGTAACTAAATACCCAAAGTAACTTAAGATACTTATTCCAAAAGCAAATTATCTTGTAACTAGATACTTTTTAAAAGTATCTTTGACAGCTCTGACACTTACAGAGTTAAACATGGATAAAATGACAAAAGCACAAAGATCAATGGAAAGACAAATGTAACATGTGAAACTGATAGATAAAAAGAAGAACGAGTGCAAACGAGCAAAATTAAAATGGAAATTCGCAGGTCACAATATCAGACAAAAAGACGACCGATGAAATAAATATGTATCTTAAGCTGGAGACCTTGGGAGAATAAAAGAAGTAGAGGAAGACCCCAGATGAGGCATGCTGATGACCTGAAAAAGCACGCTGGAACCAGGTGGATGAACATGACAACAGACAGAGAGGAATGGAGAAGACTACTGGGGGAGGCCTACGTCCAAAGATGGACTTGAAGAAGGCTGAATAGATAGATAGATAGATAGATAATCCTGTACCTACCATAATATACTTTTTACGTCATGTGAAATGACGATTTTAGTGAGATTATTAACGTTGATTATATTCATAAATTCCCTAGGTAATTTTAATTTTGTTGTGCCTCTAAATATAAAGGTTGAAATAAATTCTGATGTATAATTTCAAAAATTAATTAGAAAACGTACTACTTAATGCTCTAAATACTAAATGACGAGCATTTTGGCAAACATATCACCAATAATTTATGTTCCATAATACATTAATACTTATACCTATACATGTTAAATTTATTTATATTATCAAAGAGTCTGATTACCAAAAAATTATTAATACAATAAAATTCAAAAACAATTAAACATTTCAATGAGTTTTGAAATAAGTTCTTTATAACTTGTTGCGTTTACTGGCTTATTTTTGAAAATCTTATAATCCATATAACTGGAATAACTTTGGCAAATTGACAATGCAATTTTTTGGCAAACTAATACATTTCAGTACTCACTTAAAGGCACGCTATGGTTATCTGTAATAACTTCTCTCCTGAAATTTTCTAATCGAACCAAAGATATTTCCTTTCTGCTGAGCGATTTTCGCCGTTCCACTTTTTTCTTAAACAACGGCATTTTTCTTTTTCACTTACAAACTGAAATCACACTGTTTTAAATGGTAAAACCACACCTTCTTACGTCTAGAAAAGACGAATATCATAAATCGCTCGTTATATTTGAATCTGACATGTTAATCAAACTAAAAACGTGTTAATCAAAGTTAAAAGTGTTAAAAAGAAACGCGTGTCACGATTTTTTCGTCCACCATACTACTAGCCGAATCTTTCAAATGAAAAAAAAAAAAAAATGAGAGGAACATATACTTCTAAAAATACCATAAGTTTGTGCCGACTAGAACTGGAAAACGTATATTTTCAGAATAAAGTTGGGAAAATAGGTGAAAATGTTCTCGAACGCGTGAAACGGGCGCAGAAGTTAAACGGTTGCGAAATTTCACGGAAAAAGACGAACCAGGACTTTTGGATTTTCACGAAGGAAAATCTTATTTTTGTGGATGGAATCACAGATATATCATACATGAGAATGTACATTTTTTTCTATGACATAAGGAGAAGGAAGGCAAACTTTAAACTTTACAAAGAATCGACAGTGGTGGAAACTAATGTTACTTGGATGGAAAATATAGTTTTATGGTTGAAACGATTATAAGTAGAAACAATTTTTAATTAAACTAAGAAGCAGGACAAAAAATACAATATTTCTTTAAAAAGTATAGGTAGGTATACTTTGCTTGATGAACTGATTTTTTAAAAAAAAAATTAACTGACTTTTCACAAATGAAATGTTCCACCAAATTTGCATACATTGTGGTTTCATTTGAGTAATTGTTGACAACTCTACAAAAATAAACGTGAAAGAGATTCAATAAGATTTGAAAAAACATAATGATAATTATTTTATTGAAGAAAAGGTGTGTTAATGATTCACACACAAAACTATCAGACATTTTCAGCGTTTGCTATTCAAATATTGATTCTCACATCTCCAGTTTGTTTGAGGGTTTAAAATTGTAACAATGTCTAAATTTAATTTTGGTAATAAGCTTATGACAAACAAACTAATATGAAACAGGCAAAACGTGTAAGTTAAGTAATGTAGGTATACGATATCTGCATCATCAAAAATGATGTAATACTCAGAAGAAGAAGTCAGAGAACCATCTCACCTCCTAAAAGGCCCTATTTCTGAAAGTTTTTAGCTATTTCTCGAGCAATATAAATCACCCTAATAAACTGTAACAGATTTATAAATTTTATTAGTTTAGTTCAGTAGGTACATGGATATTGATTACAATTTCAATAAAATCTGTCAGTTATAAGTATTCTCTTATCGCCTCTGGCCAAATATCATGTAGAAATATCGCGCCCCAATTAGGTAGCGTTTCCTGCTAAAACTGGAAAATTCTTCCAGGAATTAATCGATTTCCCGCGCCTTTGTTTCCCTATTTTCCCCACCGACAAACAGGTCGATATAGAGGGACTTTTTGCCTTTTAGTTTTAAAAATAGATTAATAGATTATTCCCTATGGGAGCGACACCCAGTGATCTATTAGGACTTAATAATCCGTTCTTGTCAGGAGAGAGGAAGAGGAACGAGTCTCACGCTATTTTATGATCCTGGGGTCACCATTTTAATGGGATTAATAAATTATTGTCAAGGATTTTTGAGGACAATGTACAAGGAGAACCAGTGAATTGATTTTTAGAATATTTGTTTTTTCTTTAACGTATCAAGCGAGTCGTTTTAAGTTGGAACTTTTGGATACAAGAATATAACATCATTTTAACCTCAGCAATATTGCTAACGAACTTGTAATTCTATATTCAAAGTCTTAAGGTTGCTTCTTATGAACGGATAAAATGGGATGTGTTATAATATAGCGGGTATAGTATTCCACAGAAACGTATCAGTTAAAACGTTTTAAAAAGGTCAGTTATAGTAACTAATGGACGTTTTTCTCTAGTGCAAGTGTCAAAACTTCAAACGTCTTGAAAAAGATTTGAAAAAAAAAACGTCTTTATCAACTGGGCGTTCTTTAGGTGCCTATCCAAGAATGCTCAATAGACGACAATTGGACATTTCCTTCTACGGTAAATGTTACACCTTATCCTGCTTCCAATGTTGCCAAGCCAAGGGTGAAGTTACAACCATAATGAAATCCCTATATCTCGAAAACAGTACGTGTTGCCGGGGTCAGATTTGAAACAAGGATGAGGCAGGACCATAGCAGCACAAGCACAAGTGCATTTTGAAAATCCTGCTGCCAATGTGTTGCTAACTTCCCCGACGTCTCTTTCATGACTTTTTATATAGGAACATACTGTTGCGGAAATAACCCACATAATTTTTATTATTTCTAATTTAATATATCTCAATTTCTATTATTTACCATAATAGTTATTTATGATATAAGTGTTAAAAGTACATTTTTAAGGCACGCATGTGAAAGTTTGCAGAATGAGCGAAGCGAATTCTGCAATTCACATAAGTGCCTTAAAAATACTTTTAACACAAATATCATACAATATTTTTTCTACAAACGGCAATAAAAAGCAATAACCATTGGATTTTTTAATGAATGCTAAATTGGAAGCATCTTTCCTACATAAAATTATTGAATTTGACATTTGTCAAAAAGTTCAAACAACCAGCACCTTGTTTTACAGGTAATGAAATGTCTTGTCAGTTTCTTGAAAGACTGTCGTGGTTAGTAATGCTTTTTGCTTAAAATGCAACAAAATACAGAAGAAAAAGAGGGTTGCATCGATCCCTTGAAAAATATAGATGAGGCGGCCAATCGGGCTACCTCAGTTGTTCAAATTTCACCATTAATATCAATGTAAATAACTAAAAATACAAACTTTTTTTGACGTTCGCTCTCAAAATTTGATGTTTCATTTTTAACACTAGTGCTATAAAGACTTTATGGCACTAGTGCGATAAAGTAACATTTTTAATGCTTCGGGGGGGTGTTAAAAATTGCATTTTTAACACGTTTGTAGAAAAAAATATTATTCTAAAAATAGATGCTATTGCTGGACTATTTATCCTGTAAAACCGGCAACAACAACCCTTTGAACCGGTGAAATTGCAGGTTTCTTCATTACCTTATAAGGTAGTGAACCTGTCTCACCGTTGTGATTGGTCAGCCGCCACACAAAATCCCTAGTTTTTGCGACCTGCTCCCCTGGCATAGTCTAGTCGACGCACATTTTTCAGTACTATTAGAATAAGCGAAGAGCGCCCTCTGAATGCTCCCCAGAAGCAAAACCCCAAAACTTCCGTTAGTACGCGCGATTTATAGTGAAAATACTACCCTCTGTGTCTCAAGGCCTGACATGGTCTATATTATTGATTACAATTCATGTAATTAACCCCTAATTGTTGCAAGTCACCTCGGACGAGCAAAATTCTCTCTTACGCGATTGTTTTTAGCTCTATCTCTCACTCTCGCTTGGCTCCTACGCGCCTGTATATCGTTGTGTTTTCAAGTTTTCATCTCAGTGGAAAATTCCCTAGCTGCCAGTGTGAATAGTGATAAATGGTTAAATAATCGCCTTGTGGATTTATCTGCATGAACCGGATTAAGCAAGTAAGACCGTTACAATTTCTGTAACAGTCGAACAATAAATACTGATTAATGATTCGCTTGAAATGCACTATATAGTGGAGTTCCCTCGTACGAAATTTTGGAAGAAAACGCCAAATTGGGTTACAAGCATGAAATTTGGCATAATTGTCAGGAAGCTCATTTTAAGAGATCTGACCCGACTAGCCAGGCTCTACGACCCTCAAGACTCCCAATCTCGCATTTTTTTTCAAAATGGCGGACGGGAATTTCCTCAGTTTCAAAATTAATTCACTTGGGCATGATTATACATTTTATTATATAATTTGAGGAATTCAAAAAAAATATTTTCAAAACGATATGACCTTCAGTAACCTTGAAAATTACAGTTTAATTCGATTTTAAAATAATTTTAATATAATATATATGTTTGAAACCGCCAATAGAAGGGGGTTAAAAATCAAAAATGATTGCTTAGAATAACATAAAAATTAAAATATCTTATCAAAGACGAAAAGTTTTTTTTTTATAATAGATCAGCGCTGGCTGATGCGGTAGTACTAAGGTACATGAAGCCATGACATTACCTTGTTTTTCACAGAAATGTTTCAAAGTATCATATGAAGGATACAAAATATTTTTGTTTTCAGAAAAATAAGGTATTGCCATGGCTCGGTGGCACCGTGGCACACCTCACCAGCCGCTTCAACAGATACTGCAAACTATAGGGATCGTTGGTTTTGACATTCGCCATTGCAGTTAGTACATGCGGGTGTACAAGGTAGACCTGCTTTCTGACACGAACATCTGTTGGTCTCACTTTGACTTTTACATCCACACTTCTCTAGTACTCTAAGAGCTCACCAAATTTGTGCTAGCTGGCTCCCACCGGTTGTTTGTTAAATTCCAACCCCATCCTTCAGATTAATGATCGTTCTATCCTACAAAACTGCACCTTTCTCAATTCATTAACTTTTTCAAGTTTGCTTCTTGCATCATATAGTGTAATAATAAATTCCTTTAAAATTTTGAATATATTTTGTGGTATATCTGTGGTACTATATATTAAAGATAAACAATGGAAAGCCAGGGTTGCCTTCAGATAATCTCCCTATGCTTTCCATGCTGTTTTTTATTTTCAATGCAAAAAAGGAAGTAATGTCGCACCCCGTAAAAGCGACGCAGTGCTTACGATTTTTCCCAAATGATTTGCAACGTTATGAGCTGCAATATATCTTTGTGATTTGCTAACCCCATATAGATACCATAATTCTTCAAGGCCTGAGGAGTTCAATATATAAAAAAATTACATTCCTATTATTGCAGCTGTGTCCGAGAATCGTACTGAAACGGATTTAGCTCCATTTTGGACCAAATGTTTAACATAATGTCAAAACCAGTCTGGATGGACTATCTTGTACCGACATGGAGGAAGCAGATGGGAAGAATGTTTCTACATGTTAAGTCCTTGACCCTTGAGGAATTATGGTAGTTTGTATATGGGGTTAACAAATCACAAAGATATATTGCAGCTCATAACATTGCAAATCATTTATTGGGACCTGAAAAATCTTTAGCATTGCGTGGCTTTTATGCTTTTAGGAGGTGCGAAACTACTTCCTTTTTTGCATTCAAAAGAAAAAACAGAGAATGGAAAGCACATGGAAAGATTATCCAGAGGCAACTTTGCCCATCCATCATTTATCTCTAATGTATAGTAGCACAGATATCGCACAAAAAATATTCAAAATTTAAGAGAAATTCACTATACCAGTATATGATGCAAAAAGCAAACTTGAAAAAGTTAATAAATTGAGAAAGGTGCAGTTTCATAGTAGAGAACGACCAATAGCCATGTGTTCACCGTCACAAGACAGTTTAATGGAAGACTACAGAAGAGCTGCGTATCGAGCCGGTCAAATATGGGGTCGGGGTCGATCGCTGTCACCCGGTGAACGTATTCCATCTCCTGGAGGATGGGGTTGGAATTCAACCAACAACCGCTGGGAACCAGCTAGCATAAATTTGGTGAGCTCTAAAAGACTAGAGAAGTGCGGATGTGAAAGTCAAAGTGAAACCAACAGATGTTCGTATCAGAAAGCAGGTCTATACCTTGTACTGTTGTAAAACCAACGATCCCTATAGTTTGCAGTATCTGTTAAAGCAGCGTCTGGTGAGGTAGTGCCATG